GTTGTGCTACCTTAGTTACTCAACTTTAGAATAATCATTCCCGCGTGTCTACCTACGCTTATTCTCTCATTGTACGACCTGGAAGAAAATGATAATCGCCACCAACACCACACTAATGCGCCACCAGTCCCATCGGTCATCTACTCGGCCACCTGTGACCGTTTTCTGCCTCTTCTCTCATTTGCCGACCACCTACGTGTGTCTTCTTCCGTGCTCGCTTACGTCTTCGGTAACTCACTTTCGCCAATCTGTGTCACAATATCGTTCAACACTCATAATTCAAACTTAAATATTCACTAAAATGCCCTCCACGCCTTTCATTTGTTCTGCTGGCACACACTTTTTTTTTCAAAACTCTAGTAATTAATGGGACTTTATTTCACTTATTTTCAGTGTGAATGTCATATAGGACTTTTAGTAAATTTTATCATTTACGTAATGTATTTTGTTCTTCCAAAACGATTTATGCATAATGTTGAAGATTTTACTTCCTGTTATCTGGTCATTTACTGTCATATAACTTCTCCTTCTAATGAGCCAAGTTTTTCTCCTCAATGAATATTTTTTTTCATTTTATAAAATAAGTTGTTTTAAATAATAATTTAATGAAAGTTATTTTATTCAGAAATTAAAAGTAACATTTATGTCAAATATATATTTTATACTTCAAATTATTTTTAATTAGATCTATTTATTGGTTTTAATTTAATAAAACTGTTTCCTAGTTAAATAAAGAATATTTAAATATTTAAAAAAATATTAATTAAAAAAACACTGAATTCTTGAAAAGTTTAAGTAATTCTTCCAACATCTAGGCACTTGAGTATTATCATCAATTACATTATTACATACAAATGATAGATTATTACCTTTTTTCATTTTTATGCAACCACATAAGAGTTCTAAATTCAATAGAAGCATTTTTTCATTTCACTTTATAATATATTTTGAAACTTATGAATGATTTTGATTAAACTCTCCAGGCACTTTCAACATTTTATTATACAACAAACTAATTAGATTTTCAATAATTAATTCGTAAATTAAAAATTATATAACCAATATTAAAAAAAAAAATCTAAATGAATATCAATAAATTTCAAACCTTCCTTCTTCATCCAAGGTCTTTACTGAAATATTTATTCTAACTACATTCCATAAACATATAAAGACGGTTTTTTATTGTGATTTACTCAATTAATTTCATCTCATTTCAGTTGACTGTTTCCTAATTCCCAACGATCCGAAAAAAGAATAAAAGTTTTTTTTTTTTTTTTTAAATTAATGACGAAAATGAAAGTTTAAGGAATAAATAACTGATTGCAGATTATAAATGCGGGTGAAGGTCATACACAGAGGCACGTCGGGGAATGTGAATTGTTTCAGGGAGTGCGTGGAGATGAAGGATAAAAAATAAATATCATAAAATGACTACATAATGTATCCCATCGATGAGTTTACATTGTAAATGATTTGATAAAAATTTGAAAGTAAAAGTATCTGAGACTATTATTACAGGCTAAATAATAAGCCTTAGAGACAATTGTCCAATTTATTCTGATTGGATTATTAAAACAGAAAGAAAATTATTCAAAGTTATTATATTTTTACCCTAGGGAAACTGTGTGATACCTTTCGTTATTGCGGCATCTCAAATTTACTGTTACATATATAACATATATATCTCAGTTCACAATCAGCCTCTATCCATCCCGATCAGGTGTTTCACATAGTTGTATACCTGTCTGCAAGTATTACACCACACACATGACGAACGTGTGTATAACTCTGCTGCGTTCTCGCGACTCGAGAGGCGTATTTTGTAATGGACGGGACAGGTGCGTACGCTAGTATTGCATCACTGCATGGCAATTTGTCCCTCGTACAAGAGAGAATAAAAATTATGCACCAGTACATACAAGCTATTGAAAATGCTTTATTAATGTACACTGAAGAATACGCTTTGGTTAGTGGTAAAAATACATTTGAGATTCAATGAGGTCGAATAAACAGATCAGTAGATAAACTAAAACTATCAATAAAAGTTGCTGTAACATTCATGTAATAATATATTAGCTTTTGTTTTAGATTGGATGTTATTTTTAACTAATTTTCATTTGATTATGATGGAAAGAAAATGACCATTAAAATCTATATCACGTCATTCTTAAGAAACATTTGTTCTGGATAATGGAGTGATAGTGAGTTTAAAGACACCATTTCTATGTTATCTGATTCATTATTTTACCATTACTTCATTTTAAAAACCAGGAACTTATTTTTAATAACATTCGTTCATGAATAATAGAATTCTCTTTAATTAAAATGTAATCAATAAATCATCCTCAATCGATTAAAAACAATAATTGTTTCTTGGTAATTCATTTTTATTCACTTCATGTGTTCAAAATGCTGATAACTTTTGAATTATATCTCTTTCTCTTCATGATGTCAGCAATTTATTTTCTAAAATATATTTTTCATTTATTTATTTCCCAATCAACGAATCGTATTAAACTAACAATCAGTACATCACAACTAATAGTCTCAAAATCTAGTTTAAAATAACAATATCTAAGTAGTCATTAACAAATACACCTACTAAAATAAACATGTAAACACCGACATTTTTATGAATCTGTCATAAAAAAAATAATGATGAGTCTGGAAAAGGTTTGGGTGAAAATCAAAGTACAAAAGTATTCATAATCTTTTAAAGTAATAATACGGTTTGTCAGAATGTTATTACTCATCTTGTGTATATGCTAATTGGTAATAATTCAACTTGGCATTGGATATAAAATACTCTGAACATTACAAATGGGGCTCAACACACTACCTATAATCTTTCCTCGCTCAACACAACATCAACACAGGATGGCCTATATTTTTCTTTTCATTTTTCATCCAGCCCATCCATTCCCTTATGATCCTCCTAGAATTCCACAGTGACGAATGTGCTCAGCAGATATCCTTTAAAGGATATTCTTTGAGATATAGACTGAATTGGGACTCGTAATATGAGATAGCATTTATAATTCGTTTAGACTCCACCATCAATTTGAATGACATTCAAAACAGCCCTACATACACATTCCTTCGGACCCATTCGAATTATCTTCTTACCCCTTCAAAGTCCCTGATGAATTAGAGGATTAGTCCTAAAGCTTTTGATCTTCTTTCCCTTTGGTAGATCAACATGTTTTATTTGACTAAATGATTATTTCGTAATTTTAGGTCTTAACATGCTAGGACTTTCTGTCCTTTTGGGTTTCTCAATATTTTTTTTTCCCACCTAATTATTATCATTATCCATCGATCAATACAACATTGTCAAGAGATTTGATTGCATATATGTTTTTTGATAAATGTTAATTTAATTTTATTCTATTGTGATGGTTACTCTCGATTAAATTCGAGAGAGCGATTCTCGATGAATTGACTGCGTGTGCGGTGAAAGTGTGCGAACGCCCGGGAGCAACGAATACCCGACCCCCAGTGTAGCAGCAATGTGTTGTAAAGCGTGTGACAATAATGATGATAGGAAAAAAGGAAAATACTGGTAGAAGTGAAAGATACCCTCCAGCTAAATATGTGCATCTTCCAGCTCATGATTTTAACAAGAAATTACAATAATCATCAGCCCTCCAGCACATTATTCCTTCATGAAAGAGAAAATAGAAGTATTGCTCATGATATAATGATCCCAATGAAGCTTATCTAATACGTCCTAGAATTTATTTTTATCTTTAACATTTTAGTTTGAAAACGTTGTCTAACGTAATTGTTGTTCATTCTTTATTATGGAGTTTGTTGTTTAGGAATAAACATAAAGAATCAAGCTAGTTTATTGTAGATTTTTTGCGCACCTGAATCAGTTTGCTATTTATTGACTTCAATTGATGATAATGAGTCACACTTGAATGTCTGTCACTTTATAAGACACATTTGTTCCACGTGATATTCTTTTTGCTCATGTCAGTAACAGAGATCGAACGCTTGAGCAAAGTTTATTAAATGATTTCTAGTGTGCTGAGTATTGATTCAGTGAAAAATATTCCAATCCTAAGTGCTTTAAAATCATGAGTATTTATGATAATGCACGAATAAATTGAATATTGAGTAAGAAATCATTTTAAGTTGTGATTAAGTAATTTTGTAAGAGTAAAAGTGCAAAAAGAGTGCCACAAGCGTTGTAGTATGGAGAGTAAAAAAATAAAGGTTTAGTGAAAAAACATGTCTGCCAGGTCTTACGTGATTGATTGCCACGCCAATCGTTCGACTGATCCATCCTCATACACAGTCGTTTGCAAACTTGAATCCGTCTTTTGCGTCGAACAAATATTTGCATAGCTATTAATCACGAAGGTAGGATAACGGGGAATTTATTGTACAGAATTGAGATACCACTTGATATTACGAAAAACTATTTGTCAAAAGAATCATGTTTACTGACAACAATTAAACTCATAGGAATTTTAAACAAACAGTCATATGTGAGATAAAGCATAAATAAATGAGTAATCGAATAAATATTGAAGCAAATCAAGTATTTAAATGCTATCCATTTGTTTAAAATTATAATTTGAAATTTTTTTAATGAATAAACAACTCTTAAGGTTGCATTAAATGAGATATAATTATCTGTTGAGTTCCATCAATGAATTAAAACATTTTTTCATCAATAAAATATTTTAAACAAAATATAAGAATCATTCATAAATTCATTTATTAATGTTGTATTTTATTTATGAACTTTAATTTTTAAAATGAAGTTATTTCTATCAGTCCAACCTAGTAGTTTAAAATATTCTTCCTTCAATAGATTATCTTTGAATATTGAAGAGTTGAATTTTAATTTAATAATATACTGATGATAAACATGAAAAATTTTTCAAAAAAGGAAATTGAAAAACAAACAAAACATATTTTTATACAACAATTTAAATGAATAAAATTATTGAAATAAATAATAACATGAAATATTGTTTATTTTCCAGGTCCAGAGGCTCGCTGAGTATGAAAGATACTTAGGCCAAGAAGCCAGAACTTTGGTAGAAAGCAATAGCAACAGTGTAGGTAGTGGTGCTGTTCTTCAACGTGCCCAACTCGAGGGAGACCTCCATCGTATCCAAGAACTATTTCCGGGCGACAACCTTCGTCTTCATGAAAGGGATGTCCTAACGACGGTACGTTAAATGGATCTTTAGCTAACAAAAGTGGACGATTACACCTAATTGTCCATCTACGTAACTTAACTAGCTACTTATTTGTTGTGAACATGAAAGCTCTACAGTTTTCTAGAATGCGAAACTTTTTACATTCATTGCCACGTGTGTCTTGTGCTTCCTTGATGTTCAGTGAGGAATTCCTGAAGTAGCAACTTCTCATGCATGATGACTTACAGGGAAAAGGGACTTGTAATTTTCTATTTCTTCAGGCGATCAGTTTGCACTTTAAAACCACCATGACCTATCCTCTCGGTACCGTTCCTAAAGCGATGATGATTCTGGAAATAACCGGAGGCTTAGTCAAAGAGATTATTTCCCTAACACACGCTTCCATTTATTACAGCTTTAGTAACAATAAAAAAATATAAACACTTTTATTTTGCCCTGCAAACATTACTTAACCATTACTTGCTGCTAATAATAATCAATATTACCTTAAAGCAGTCGTTTACTACCTTAATTTATTTTTTAGCTTCACGTCATCATTTTAAGTAGGCGGGAATTCAATGCAAACTGAATTTCTCAATTTAAGTCATTGTTCCTAATGAAAAATGGATATTAAAATTTGGACGATTAATAAATAAGCACAAGGATGATTGAAATAATACATTTGACAGTGATGATAAAATGCAAATAATAATAAAGATCCACTGAAAAGATTGCGTATTATGTATTTATGCGTAGGTCTTAAAGAGCGTTAAAAGTGATTTGCATCTTGGGCGGTCTTATTGTCAAGAGCAGAGATTATGATCCATTAGAAACATTAGTTAACACGTTTCAACGTTACAGTATACGTAGGAAAAGACAAGAGCAACATATTACCAATATGTATATTTATAACATAATAAAAGACTTAGGAGTCTAACAGAAACTTTATGTTGCTTTGTGTTCAAGTATAGTATGTTTGCTTGATACGTTCATAGGAACTTGGGGAAAAAATTCAAACAAGGAGGGTTAACATGCACGTAACGCTTGTAAGAATTGTGATGGCGTAGGTGCGACACGCGTACACGTGACTCTGATCTTGTGAGAGACTGTTAGATAGCAAGTAGTATTATTGATAAGAGAAAATGTCCAATGGAATACTAAACATTTATCATTGCTATTTTATTTCAGAAAATGAAGAGTCTGATACGTAAAAGGAATGGTCCTAATCCTGGTCGACTGACACGAGCACTTTCTCAAAAGAATCTGCAAAATGTTGGAGCACCAACACCAGCACCAAAATCACCACCGAGAACATTTCTCCTTGAGACTCCTGTACAATTTACGACAGGAATGCAGTCTCAAGACAGACATCTTTTTCTTTTTTCTGATCTACTGCTCATTGCAAAGGCTAGAAGTGGTGGAAATTTTAAACTGAAACAGACCGTCAAGATGAGTGAGCTTTGGCTAACCGCAGGACACATTGAAGATGTTGCCGAGACGAACAAGTCACAGGAAACGAGCTTTGTTCTAGGGTGGCCCACGACAAACGTTGTGGCGACCTTCATGTAAGTTTTTCCTTGATGATATCCATGCATTATTACCCTTAAATGAATTCTCGAAGCCGCAAATTATGCTCCATTAGTGCAAAGAATTTATTCCGCGAGTCATTATTGATTAAATGATCAATTCAAGTGATGGTGATTTCCGAGAATATATCTTGCTTCTTTTACAGGACTGCAGCAGCAAGGGACCTGTGGTGGGGCCGGCTGACTGAGCTGGTGAGAGAAGAGAGCCTGAAGGAGCCGCCAGACACGAACATTCAAGTCGTGTATCACGACAGTGACACAAACACGGAATACGTAAGTATCTTCAAGACACGTGGTGGTCACGCCTTTGCGGTTCCTTCTTACCGCATCCACAGTGACTAAACTTCATAGTAAACTTCTTCAAGACATTCTATTATGTGGTGAATGTTAGTCGGTGTATTTTAATCATCTTTTTCCCATTGCAGTGTAAGACGATAATGGTGAGCTCAGAGATGACAGCAGCGGCATGCGTCAATCTTGCGACCCGACTGCTAGATCTCCAAGGTCCGTTCCAACTCTGGGCACGAACGTCTGCTGACGAAGCTCCTTACCCATTGATTGGTCATGAGAGACCCTTTGCCATAAAGCTCTCTAACCTACGGCATACTTTATCAACAGAAGAAGGCTTTGATCTTGAACACTGCAACAAGAGTGGACATGATACTTGCCACTTCATTCTCCGACCTGTTCTCAAGTCTCCAATCAAAAAGAATAAGTCCAAGATCACGGGATTACTGAGGAGGTCTTTGTCTCTCAACCCAAGTATCTTTGGAGTTAATCTATCGAGGTTAGATGAAAATGGTTTGCCCAAACCTGTCCTGGTGATGTTGCAGCAACTGTTTGCTAAAGGGCCTTTCACACAAGGAATTTTCCGGAAATCAGCTAATGTAAGAATCGTCCGTGAACTTAGGGATCAAATTGAATCATCAGGCGATCCTTCGTGTCTGGAAGATGCTCCAATAATTGCAGTAGCAGCATTGCTGAAAGATTTCCTTAGATCTTTGCCAGATCCTTTACTCACGTCTCATCTATTTCCTCTCTGGATGGCAAGCCTTGAAACAAAAAACCCTATACAAACGATCAAAAGGTAAAGATAGATGATGATTAATCATCATTTACTTTTGCATTTTTTCTATAGTTAATTGATTATTTATTTTTTTTTCATCTGTTTTAGCATTCTTGATCGATTGCCAAAGGCAAACTACACACTACTCTCGCATTTTGTTTGTGTACTTCATCATATTGCAAGAAGATCAAAGCATAACTTGATGTGCGCCAGTAATTTGGGTGTATGTTGTGGTCCAAGTTTACTTTGGTCGTCAAACCCGAGTGTAAATCAAAGTCGTGCCATTCCTGCGCTTACTGAAATGCTAATACGTCACTGTGAAGTCCTCTTCGGTGACGGAGTAACTCAGTTGTTTGGAGAAGAGCGCAGTGACAGTGGGGCTGAAGAGAGCACTGACAGCTTACACTGTGAGTAATATATTCATTTCTTTATATATGTCATAAATTTTAAATTAATCCGACTGTTATGACATATTAGAATATGTTTAACAAATAAATAAATCTATCAGTATTATTAGCAACATTATTTATCATAATATAAAGCATTCTCTGATCATCTTTTTGTTTTCGTTGCAGCAGGTGGGCTTTCACTAGACAGTTTGGATTTAACAGAGCCACCAAGGAAAGATCACATGTCTCTTTCTCGTGACTCCGGTTTAACACTATCCGACTGTCAACTTTTTATCCCAGAGTCTCCAGTAGGATCTGAAGACTCAGCAGTGAATGCATCAACGTCGAGTTTCGACAAATCATTGACGGAAAAGGACAAGTCAATAAATAAATCATACATTCGTGTCTACGGTGGATGGGAAGAAAGATTGAATGGATATTCAACGCAAAACGGCATTGAAAGTGGCTTTAGAGATGACAAACTGAGCAATTATCCAAATCCAAACTTTCAAAGGCAAGACTGGTTACGAGCGCACTTGAAGCGAACGCCAAGGATGAAGCTTGAAGAGCATGAGCAAAGAAAAGAGCGATTTGATGAGAAGGATATCTATAGTAGAGATTATCTTAGACAAAGTTCAATGAAAGAGAACGTAGAAAACTGCAAGGAGATCGTTTACAGGTCTCAGCATGATATCTCTCGTGACATAAGAGCTGATTATGAACGATCTCAACAGCAGGACTCATGTACAGAAAGAGTATCAATTCATGATTCAGAACAAGGATCGACTGGTGAATCTACATTGTCGAGTGAGCGATATGACTTCAAGAAAGACCGATTTGGTGACTTTAAAAAAATGAAATCAGACGTCTATTCAACGCGAGACTCACCAGTATCTCAAAATGGCAGTTATCATTCTAATAATAGTGATCTTTATGAATTTAAGAAGGTCAAAAGCGAAATTTACGTCACCGTAAATAAGGAAACAACACGAAATGACGATCGATATGAACACGAAAGACTGGATAATAACATATATAGTAATCGTGAAACAGCTAACGAAATTTATGGGTCTCGGGAAAGGAACGATATGTATACATTTAAACAAGCTGAAGCAATTGATGCATTTTGTGATGAGGGTGATGATGATACGAGGACTTGGCCAGATACTCCGCCACCACTTCCACCACGATTGAGGCATTTACCACCGGTGCACATGAACTTAGAGGACAGACATAAAGTTGCAGGAAGGTCTAGGTCTTTACCTCCTCCGCCTCCTTATAGGCCACCACCCCAACCTAGAGCTCCTATTACTACGAGACATCTCGGCTATCCTAGATCAGTTATTGATGATGAAAGTTATGTCTGAGACATTATTTCTCGTGAAAAATTGATCAAATTTATAAGCCATATTTATTGCTGAAGATCATAAGTAACGAGCTCAATAGTGCTCATATTAGAGTCTATTTAACCGAACCTAGTCCGAACCGTAGGCCCTTTGACAAAGATTTGAAGTGGAAAAAAATAATTAAACGTGTGACTTTGTGAGGATGAAATTGATTGTAATAATTATTTTATTTTTTTTTCAAATTATTATTGCGTTGTTGACAATTTATAATAACGCATAAAAGCGTTTATGGACAATTTTATTTGTTAATTCATGATAATTCAGGGTGCTTCCACAGGCTTAACAAATATAAATATATAAATATATATATATATATATAAATATAATAATGTAAACTTTATAAAAAAGAAATAAAAAGGAGAAGAAATTCTTATCAATAAGTATAGATTAGTCGAAAACGAGACTCGAGTTAAATAATAGTTTGACATTTTTAAAGCAGAGACATTTATTTCGCGCACAAACTAAACTCGAGGTCACGTTATCATTTATCAGGTAATCAATCGTAATATAAATATAGAAAAAGTCTATCAAAAGTATTCAGTCCATATTGGATTCTAATTTTTTTCTTTTATTTGCTTTTTATATACAGTAATGGATACATTTTTTTCATAAATTTTTATCATGAAAATTTTTTGATTCTAATCATTCAGAAATACATTCAATCTTTAACGGAAGTTGCAATGATTATTTTTTAAAGAATTTTTATAATCTACAATACTTTTTAAGCAAATTTCTCTTGTGGTTATATTTTATCTTTAAACATCTGTAGATGCAAATGATTAAATTGAGCCTCCTGTACGTGTAACATGACATTAATGTTTACATCGATACGTTTATTTTATATAAATAAATATATAAATATAATACAACAATATGAAAATAGCATATGATTAATATTCAAAGACGTGCGATTATCTTTTTTAGTAAGTAAGCTTATAGAAATGTATTATTTTCAATATTTTATTCTTTGTAAATATTATTATATGACAAACTTTTATATTGATGATCAAGTTATAAACATAAATATATATCTCAACGCAGCTAAAATTTCAAAACTCGTCTTATTTTTTCAAGTACCCATCAAACCACTGTTGTATTCCAACGAGATTTATTTAAATAATTTTCAATTTACAAAACAATTGTATTCTAACTAATATTATTCGTTATTTAATATTGGATATAGGTTTAAAGGAAGATAATTTTTAACAGAGATTTAGTATAGACTTGTCGAAGGAAGAATTGTAACTGATCTGACTAGTGAAGAATGATGATCATATTTATATTAGTGCATGGTGTGCATTAGGTACTATGGTGGATGGTAGGGCAAAGGTTCCAACGTGGAAAGTTGGGAAATTTGGGCGTTAAATCAGTGACCGTAGTTTTATTGCATTTTTTTGAAAAAGTCATGAAGTTAGAAATTTAGAAAATTTTAGTAAGAATTAGAAAGTTTAATAATTTTATTTTAATTGTCAGTAAATTCTTTTTGTATTAATAATAGCTTTGTTTTAATAATTCTATTGTTAATATTGATAAATCATTAGGTTTTCCAACACCACCAATTACATTTAATTGACTTCATAAAAATAAAGAACTCAAGTATGCGTAAACACTAGAGATATGAAGTAAGACACATAACGAAAATCTTCCAGTAGCTGAATAATAATAAGGTTGTAATGAAAAATAAGCTGTCAAATAAAGATCATAAATTTACCTGAATCATGGAAATTGAAGACTTCGAAGACCTCCAGTTAGATAGACCAAGTGTTCATGGATTGCGTGTAAATAATCCTTGAAAACTAAAATTCTCTATTTAGTAAAAAAAAATTAACTATAATTTGAAAAATGTAATTTTTCAGACTGAAGAACAATTACGTAGACACACTTTAGATAGTCATTTAGAACAAAAACCTATTGAACGAGCTTTACATCTTTTAACGTAAGTAATAAAAAAGATCCTTGTATCAATAATTAAGACTCGAATCAAAATAATTAATAACTATCAGCTACCTTGAACTACTTTTGGAGTATATTAATAAATTGATAAAAATGTAATATATATTTTTGATGATAAAATGACAATTTTTTATCTAAATAGTAATATTATTTTGAAAGCCATTTGTACATCATCATATTATTGTTTCATCTTAGTTAATATAATAGCAAATGAAATACAAATTTAATAGCGATAATTCACCATTTGATTAAACATACAAATGTTCTCTGCCATGTGCAATTTTATTAAACAAATAACTAACGCTATTGGTATGAATGAGCCTTTGAAATAAATGTAATTTGCTTTGATTGTTCATCCAAGGTCCAAGATTTACGTAACGAAATGGTACGTAGATTAGTCATGATGAGTCATAAGCAACTTCCAAGTAAGAATTTAAATTTGTCGCGCTGTTGGATCTCTCGTTCAATTGGTCGAAGCAGTAGCAGGTAAAGCTACGGTGGAGGTCCGTCAACTCTCGGTAATCTTCGTAGGCACTTCGTATAGTATGAGGCAATAGTATCGCGCGACCAGATCGTGCCAGCAGTGCACGAAAGTAGATGTAATAGATGATTTTAGATATGTGATTGCTTTGTGGTTAGTCTATTTCAATTGCTTTAATAAAAAGCTACACTTAGAAAATGCTTATGAAGTTGTTACTGGTGGGTTCATCAAGTCAATTAACTCGCAACTGTGCAATACGATGAATGAGAAAAATGTGGCAAAAAGGAGGCGAAGCTCTATTTGATGACATATCAGATGCGTAAGTATCTTTGAATAGTTATTTTAATGCAGCAGTATATCCCTAAAGATGCAATCGATGAGAAACGATGTAGAGTTTACAGCACGTCCTATGTGCTAAAAATAACGACCCAACAATTTGAGAGTCTCATCTTCAACTGCACGTCGTTGAGGAAACACTAATTATATCCTAAGAATTTGGACTCTTTATACTTCATTTTACATTATAAAATAACATCAAGTTATGTTTGTTTTGATTTTACATTTAAATAACTTAATTATTCAATACTTTATTTGTGTAATTTGATAGGTAAATTGTCAGGTAAACCAAATTGATTTATCTGCTAAGATATACTTTATATAAAAGTAAATAAGGTCAGGTATATGCTTAATAAAATGACACGTTCCATGCATCATTCATATTACTTTTATCTGTTTACAAAATACTTCCATGTCAGATAATATTCTCATTAGATGAAAATGTGATTAATGATTTAATCTTCAAAGCAATCACTCCAGTAAGTGAATTTGATAATAATTATTATGAATGAATGTTACAGGAAAGGTGATGAGATACAGCGGTTGAGTGTGATTCAAACATTACCAACTTTACTAGCTGAAGATCCACAAGCATGTATTCAAAGATTAATACCCATGATGCAGGAGACTTTGCCTTCAGCATCAACAGAATTTCATGTTGCTGCTTCCTCTACTTTCAAAACAATATTAGAACAAAGACTCGTCAGTGATTCGGTTTTCACACAAACATTCCTACAAAAAATTCTAAGTCTTCTCAATCACAAGGATCAGAGTAAACATAGTTTTATCTATTTTAATACACATGAATTGGTAAATAAGTTTGCACTTTATCACTCTTTTTTTTTGAAATTTGTCCTACTTAGTGTCTTAAATAATCTTTCAGAGATTTTCAGGCAAAATTACTCCAAACTCCAAAAAGAAAAAAAAACAACTTGAGTCAATGTTTTTAAGTAAAAGTGCAAAAGTTGTTTATCGATTCAATCTTTATAACTTTGACATCTTGACAATGATTTTATATTTTTAGTTGTAGCTCATACATGGCTGGAGACCTTACCTGACGTGATCGATTTACTACCAATTGATGTTGTTGCGCGTAAAGTAAAAATACATGTCTATTCATTCATATAATATTATTGTTTTTAAATCAACAAATACACAAGCTGTTGATCGATTCATTCATAGATTCTGCCGGTGGCTATAAGTAAAGGACAGTTGTCACAGCCTGTCGAGTCTCGAATAGTTTGTTGCAAGTTATTAGGAAGGATCTGTACGAGATTCGATTCTCAAATGTAAGACTTTTTTTAAATTTCTGCTGACATAATCGAAGAATATAAAAATAATCATCAGATAACATGATAATATTGAGTATTAAATTTCAATAAAGTTGTTTTTATAAACTCATATTATTTTCATTATTTAAGAGCAGTTGATTAAAGTAATATTCATATATTTTTGCTGACAGTAGACATAATATTGCGATTTTTATTTCAATATATAAATATTTAATAAATAATGTATTTAATTACAGGATAAAAAAGGATGTACTGCCTACAGTCCATTCACTTTGTCAAGATGAAAATAGTGATGTAAGAGCTTGTATATGTTTACAACTGCATTTTGTAGCTGAAGGCTTAGGTCCTGAGTTAGTAAAATCTTTGTTACTTTCGTTAATTATTGAATTAGCAAACGACGAAGAAGCCATTGTAAGGCAAGCCTCTGTACAGACAATAGTTCATCTTCTACCTCATTTTCAAGCTAATGTACTAAAGAGTGCAATTTCACCACTTTTTAAAAAATTATGCGAGAATTCTTTACAAGCTTTTGATAGCGTAACACGTATCATTGCCGAAGAGTTTGGAAAAATCGTCATTGGATTAGAAAAATGTCTGACAGCATCAGAAAAGACATGGTTTTTAAAATATTTTCAACAATTAGCACAAATAGGAATATCAAAACATATTACAACAGCAAAAAAAAATAGCTTTGCTGAACAAGAAATTTCGGTGGATTTTGATTTGGAATTGTGTAAGCAATACCTAGAATGTCGGAGGCTGTGTGCTTTTAATATTCCTGCGATGTTTTTTCTTTTTGCATCATCAACACCAGAAGATGTTGACATATTGTTATCAACATTTTCTGCTCTTGCACATGATTCACTTTCTGTGAAACGTGCAATTGCTTGTGGTATTCATGAGGTAAATCTTTATTCTCATTTGAACTTATTGAAAGTTTTCTCAATAAAAAAATAATTGTTTTATGTATAACCATTAATTCTATTTCTTTTAAAGGTTGCAAAACTCCTCGGACCAAAATGCCATTTAATTAAAAAGGATTTTATGAAATTATTAGATCATAAGAATAAAATTTTACAAGGTTTAATTCCACATATTGCGCAAACAATTGAACTTATAATACAGAGTAATAAGACCACTGAAACAGAGCATGAAGTAAGTACATTTATTGTTTACATTTATTGAAAATTTGCTATCACTCAGGTATATTAAATTATTCTCATTCCTATAGGACTTATTGATAGCAGAATTAGGAGCAGCATTATTGAAATGTGAGAATGAAATATTTACTAGCAATAATTGGAGGTCATCAAAATCGATGTTAGAGCAATTAGAAATTTTACCGAAACTTTTTTCGAGTGAATATATCTACACCAACTTTGTGCCTGTGGCATTTAAAAGAGCTCTGACTACCGTAAGATAATTCAATGTTTCTATGATAAAAATGCATCAAGTTGAATTTATTATCCAATAAATTTTTATTTCAGAAACCCATACCAGTTCGTTTAGCCGCTGGCAGATTAATTCTTGTATTTACTCGTTATAATTTGAAACCTCAACAGAGAAATTCAATTCGAAATAGAATATACACAGATTTTGCTAGAAACCAAAGTAGTTACGTGAGGATGTTATTTCTTCATATGATGGTTGAAGCCATGGCAATATTTTCTTCCAATTATTTTAAAGAGCATTTTTATTCAATTGTATTAAGCTTGTCAGACGATCTCATAGCTAATATTAGGTTTAAATTAGTAACGCTGTTGCCTACGCTTAAGTCCTACCTTCGATTGCCTTCCGATAGAAAGCTTTTATCATCTTTTGAATCAACTATCCGTAATTTAATGAACAATGAAAAAGATCATGACGTTATTTTTGCACTTACTAATACTATTCGGGAATTAGATAAAATTGATGTTCGGCATGAAGGTCAAACAGTGAGTATTGTATTTCAAACACATTTTCAATTGTTTTTCATATTTAATTAAATTCTTTTTTATTAATTAAAATTAAGTCATCGGCAAAAATGAGTAAACAAGATCTCGAAGACCTAAGAAAGTTTGAAGAGGAAAAAGAATTGGAAGCAATAACAGGAGGAAAATCATCACCAATCGGGCAATTAGCTATGACCATTGAAAAAGGATTATTAACCTCAGGTCGAACAAATGTTAGTGACGGAACATCTTCCTATGGTAGTAAACAAAGTACAATTATCGAAGGCCCATCAAAGTCATCGTAAGAATAATAATTTTTATTTATTGTATAACTCTATAAATAGAGTAATCAGAGCTGAGCTAGGATTTTGCTCTAATTTTTTCAGGTTATCAACGACACAGAAAGCAAAACAAACAGGTGTTACGGAGTCAGTAACGGAGAGCTCATTTAAGGCGACAAGACGTGAGTGGTATTTTCCGGTCCAATTAATAAGAACACTCAACAGAATACTAATGATTGTACTTATTTCAGAAACCACTGGGTTTTCTCAAAGTTTCGATCCTTCCAAATCTAGGTAAGAATGTTATTAAAATATTTTATAATTAAAAATCAATTAGCTTAATAATAATGGTACCTTTGAACAAAAAGCGAGCTATTGTCTTTATGATTTTAGTACGTCTAGTGATAATTTAACTTCGAGTTGGGTAAGACTAACATCTAACCGAATGCTACTAACACAACTATGGGAAAAAATTGATCAGCCAGAATCTACTAACTCTTCTTACAACTCTACTAATACAAATATCGACGACGGTGATGATTTTGTTTCTAACATGTCATGCGGGTGTAGTAATACTCCAAGTTTTGTTTATCCAAATCCTAGTACTTTAGAAACTGAATCTAACAGACTAAATTTAACTGGCAGCTGTTCTTGTGATAATCTTGAATGTAAGAAAACGTTTCATTCCTTTTTGAAACATAATTATTTTGATTTTCACTCACGAGCAAGTCCATTACATCTACTAACACATTCTAAAGAATCTAGGTATGAGCATATTCATAATTATTTTTCGCCTTCTCCTTCAAGAGAATCTGTATATGATGATACTAACTCTCCCAATTTTGCTGCTCTACGTGCAGTAACAAATGCCGCTCACTATAATTCTTGTTGGGCTTTTAGTTCCATGCCTGAAATACCCGTTACTCTTTTGGATGACGAATTTCTTGTTGATACTGGAGTCAGAATTCCTGCACAATTGTCATCATCACAAAGTACATCAAAAATACCTAACTTACAGGATATTATTTATCGAAATACACGTATTAATAATAAATTTGATAAAAGCAACAAAATCGTTTATACACCATTAAAGCAAAGATTAACTAGTGTTGATCAGAAAAGTAATAGACTCTCTGGAAATTTTGATTCACGATTTGCTTCTAAAGTTCAAATGAGAGATAACTTGAAGGATAAAAGGTACTCTGTAATGCCACCTAAATCTCATTCAAATTCAGAAACATCTCAAAGTCAAGGACTGGATGATAAGTCAAAAAGATCATCGTTTACGATGGATCGAGAAGTAAATAGATATACAAATTACGTTTCAGACTCTGATTCTAAAGTCCAGATGAGAATTAATTCAAAGGATAAAAGATATTCAGTCATACAAACAAAAGCACGTTCAAATTCGGAATCTTGCCAAAGTAAAGTGTTAGATGATAAAGCAAAGAGATCGTCATATGCCTCAGATCGAGATGTAAATGATAAATTTAAAAAATGTCTTAAAACAGGGATGACATCGTACGATAATGAAGGGCCTATATTCAGTAGATACAGTAAGCAAAACTTCAAACGACACAGTGTAGAGGTTACTGACTATGCTCCAGTTAATCGTATGAATACACTAAAAAGAAACTTTACTTTGGATGTAAACCATAATCAAGGTACCAGTAAAATTCCGCTAAGAAAATCAATAATAGCTTCTGGAAGTCGAACAGCTCCAGTAACTAGAGCATCCAGTCCAATAAGATGGGGACCACAATTAAGCTTTGAAGCAGATCATCAGCCTACAAAATATTCTGAACCAAATGTAAGCTGTTCTAGTGATCATTCTAGTGATGATGAAACTAATATGCATGGTTATAAAAAATTCACAAGCCGTGAATTATCTAATTTAAAAAAGGAAGACTATACAAAAGATTGGATCAATAAGTTGCCTGGTAACGAAAGAAAGGTGAGTTCGAAAGAATTTGATAATCTGTGTTCAAAATTCGCAGACGTTGGTCCAACATATGCCACCAAAGGAGAGTATTTACAGGATTGGATGAGCAAATTACCTGTTTGGAATCCACATGCTAAAAAAAATATGTAGTTGATACTTTTTCTGATAAATTTTTAATTATTATCATGACATAGTTGAAAAAAATCTCTCGCAATATTTTTAATGAGGATGAAATCAATTCATTTATTTTAAGACGCTGAATTTTAATTAATTTATTTCGATAATTAAAAAATGGAATAGTACTTATGATTAAGATTAAATGAATTAATGTTCGTTATATGAACATTATTGATTGATTATCAATTACAGCGAAACTTTTTTTAAATGATTACATAAATCAACTAACTTTTATTATGATCTTTGAAAAAATGTATATTAGACATCAGCAATAGGCTTGAATTTGGACTTAATTAAAAAAGTGCTGTAGTTTATTACTAGATGACAAACAACAATGACGTAAAATAAGCAACAATTTGCAAGAATAACAGTATTGAATTATATAGAAATAGACACTAGTCTGTATGTATTAGATCATTTACATTTTTCATTGAACTTAAGCATTTTTTTCATCATTTACATAATTATTTTTGTCATTTTAAAATCAAATATTTTTACTTTCGTAGGAACTTTTCAATTAATTGTAACAATATTGTTTATATAATTTATAAGCGTTATATTGACGTTGCACGTGCATTAATAATCTTGTTAATATTTGATGAAAATGTATATTTCGAAGATGCTGAATCGTTAAAGTCAGTATAAAAAATCTTTTTAATAGATATTATATTTATTAATATAAGTCAGATAATTTATCAACATGTACAAAGAAAAGGAAAATATTTTTTCCAGTGAGAAGAAATTCTAAGGCGTTATTTTATAAAAATTTAAATGCTAAGGGAGTTTATGCCAAACATATAAAAAAAAACTTAAGTTAACTTGGCATAATGTTTAGTTGAAATTTTCAACAGCTAAATATTATTTTAATTAGGCTATCAATTATTTAGCGTGCCTCTATTTTTAACAATAATATAGCATTTTATCAATTAAATGAAATTCAATAAGAATTTATATAATTCTCATGTTTGTGAATACTCTCGATTACAGAAGCAAAAAAAAAGATCGGGTATAGGATAGAAAAAAGTGTCAAGATTATGTCCAGTATATGACAGACTTAAAATATGAAGATTAAAAAGAATCAGAAGATATTTATTAGATAAACGTCCGGATCTGCTTAAAAAAATATTATTTATTTTTGTATAGATCTTTCATGTTCAAAACTGACATATGTGCCAGAAGAAAATATTATATATATACACTAAGTACTAAAGAGACAAAAAATGTTACTGTATAGATTGATAATTATATTTCATTGTTAATTCTAATGAAAACATGAATTATCATGTTTTATTACAATAATTACTGTTTATTGTATATAATACCCTATATACTCTAATTCCTTACAATTATAATATTTTATTTAATTATTCCATTATTATGAGATAGAAAATTATGTGTCCATTCTAGTATTTGTTCCAAAATACATCTGTGATAATTATCAGTTGTTTACTAATTATTTTACCAATTACCATTTAATGAAAAAAAAATTTTATAAATTAAAAAATAATAAATATATTTCTTTCAACATAAATATCATTATATAATGAGATTTTTTTTGAAGTAAGGTTTAAATGGAATAAAGTGGAGAAAATTTTTTAAAATCATTTTATTTTTCTACTTTTTTAATAACTTAAAAATCTCAGTCGCTACATATTTTTTATGATTTCCTATCCTTACATTAATGCATCATTAAAATAATTATCCACTTGAAGTTGTTTATCCTTTTCTTTGACTCTGGAATAATAATGCTATCTGTTTATCGTTGTTTCATACAAAAAATTCATTTAACTATTGATACATACTATTGAAAATTTTTCAGCAATACATGGAGATCAATAAATTTTTATGGTTTTGTTTTGAGAGTAATTATTTTTTTTTGATAATATTTTTTAAATCGCAAAAAAATGCGACTGTCAATGAAATCAATTCATGAATTCTATATTTAGAATTCTTCTAGGTAGTTAGGTAATCACTTTTTCGCATAATTTAATACAAGTTATTATGAGCAAATGTCAAGAAACGATCGTGCAAATAATGGTAAATAAATAATGTGACAATTCGTAGGAAAAAAGGTACTTTAAAAAATTATGTTCGCACAATCGTTTCTCGTGACATATTTTGCATGAAATAAAGTTAGTAAGACTATCATTATTCCGATAGTATCATTCAGAATTTTTCAACCATTTATGCACCTGTTTTATATACACCTATGAAAAAGTATTTGTTGGCATCAATCCCTTATAATAACGAGAAAAAAATATGTTTTAAAAGTGTAACTACTACATTTTCACGACTATGTACATAAATTCTACGTAAACTGGACTTTTTTCACTTTGATTCATTTATATTTAGTATACTTAATCAAATCTTAGATATGGTTCATTGTAAATAGCCAGTATACATAATTGAATACTCTTCTCCATATGATTCGACTTTTAAAATTATCATTTATCATTGCTGATTATCATTTTGATTAATTCCAAACTCTGCGATTGTCGAATTCACTGGTACATTATTCAAACTAACATTGAAAAGCTGTGATTCATTTGATCAGCAGTTAATTCATATTCATTTATTAACTTATTTTTTTCACTTTACCTGGGTTGTTTTTTTAATTTAAGTATTCCTTCACAAATTATTTTATTAATTACATTCAAGTGGATGATTGAAATTACAAATACCATCAAATTTACAAGAATGATATTTATTGGCATATTTTCCTCGCATATCTGGCTTTATAGAGCTACTTATTAATTTAATTCATTTGCAATAAAAATATATCATAGCTACGATAGTACTTAATACTTGACTAGCATGTTTAAATTAAAAAAAAAATGATTCCCAATCTATCATTATCAATTATCAAGTACTTAATTATGTTATGAAATATAGTATACATATATAGGCCTGTTAATTAACTAAATTGAGCGGAATTTTATTCCATTATATATCAACTCATGTTTTTTGAAAATGAAATTGATAAATATTACATTTTCTCATTGGGAATCTAATCAATATTAAATATAATATTAAATATTTATATTTATATATATATATATATATTTTTTTTAAGTACAATTATGGGTGATATAGTGTTTTTGAGACTAATGTGAATTTCTACTTCACAACTACGTCTTAAATATAATAATAAAATCTAATAGGTTCATAGGATTTGTTTAGAATCCACTCAGATGGGTAAGTACAGTTTCATCCACCAATTTTATCTTAAAGTATTAAGTTATAATATTTTTTCATACCATGTACCTGAAATATATTTACGTGGCACTTGATCGTGCTATGGATCTTATTTCATCCATACCACACGAATCATAACGCATCACGCATTACGAGAATTCATTAATTAAAAGGCTCTTGTGCAAAATTGCTTATACATTTTATGCCGCATGCCAATTAAAAGATTAATTAAAAGATATAGTTTAATGTTCCCGTTTATCATGAATATTTTTTTTTTCATACAATAAATTTGTGTATGAATATTATTATCGTATTTTTGCATTTTTTAATTCTTTTGTTTCATCCTTCTGGCGAGCTTGAACTTATTTTTTTCTGTTAAAATGGCATTGCGCGGCACACAAATAGTTTTAATAAAAAGCGTAATTCCAACACTTCTGTATTTTAACTCACAACTTCATCACGCCCATACCATTCTCAGTCTTGTGGTAATACTAATTTAATACTTATTTTCTCAACCGGTGCATCTCTAAAAATAAAAATAATTCTACATACAATCGATTCAAATTTTGCTTTGTTACATGATGTAAATCTTTTTTATCCTTGTGCATCATTATAATAAAGTTAATACATAATACAATATGTATATTATCGATGTGAAACATTATAGAATTTTATTTCAAAAAATTTATCAAGCAAAAGCTCTCAAGCTTTGTTCTTCTTGTCATTATTTAATATCAATTATGATTGATAGAATAACGTTACAATATTATTAAAAAAAAATCATCATTTATAATTGATAGGAAAAGAAAAATAATAAATTTCGATGTTTCATTTGAATTGTGCTCACAACTTTGATATTTTTTTCATTTAAACTTATTGTCATTCTCGACATTAATATAGCCGAAAATTTGATTCAATTGAATAAACATTTGATAACAAGAATGATTTATGAGCAAAAAATATTTTTTACGCATGGAGAAAAAAATTTAATTATTAAGACATTAATTTTTGTTTTATTTGATAAAAATATTTATTTTTATTATTAATTAATAATAATAATTAATAAATATATACGAATTCATAAATAAACAATTTTGTGTAAATAATTGAATATTTACGTAAATATTGAATAATTGAATAGATTATTTTCGCGATTCAGTAAATATTTTCACTATTAATAATTAATTTTTTTCTCAATGCGAAACATATACTTCGGCACAAAATTTTAGGTAAATATAAATGCAATATTTTCTCTATCCATTACTTATCTACTCACTCATTATTGCGTTTTGATATGTATACATTGACAGCAACTCCAGCTGTTTGTATACAGTTAGTTCAATTCACTTTAGGCAATTACAGAAGCAATAGGGAAGCATTAAAATAAATAAAAAATTTATGTAAAATACCTCTATAAAATGTACATTCAAGTATAAGTATATAAAAAAATGCTAATGATAAAAACTCATTATACTACGCCTTTGGCATAGGAAGTTTGTTGTGAATAGTACGTAAGAAACATTTATACCATACTTTTAATGAAATAACATCAAGTACAACTTATTTCAAAATCTAATAAATAATTATAATAAATAAAAAACACTGAAAGCAATAGCTTTCTAACAAAATAAAAATGCATTCAATAGGAATGAGATAATGCCACGGTACATTGCTGCGATATTTATAAAGATTTCGTTGCTTTTTATGATTAAGTTTTTTTTTATAATAATATATATTATAATTTAATTATTTGATATCGCTATCATATGTGATTGTATAGGGCTATAGATTGAAGCTTTTTTTAGCTCATAACTCGGAACAGATATTAATTAACAACAGCATTGATTTATGAATGCATTTAATGCATATTTTTGAAGCTCAATTAATTTTTTTTTTGTTACCGAGTCAGCAAATTTCATGCTACTTTCGTTTGTTTGAAAATTACGACATTTTTCATTTAATAATATTACCTTTTTTCTCATAAAATAAAGTCACTAGAGGCTATTATTGATTTTGTCTTATTTAAAACGTTAAGTACGTGAACCCTGTGAGTTTATAACTCAGAATTTATTTTTTATCAATTTATTGAATAGCTTAATCATTTAAACTAAATGTTCTTTAAGTATATTTTCGAATTATTATAATATTTTATATTCTTTTTTTTTCCATATAAAAAGTATACTCGTGAAGATAAAAAATATTTAAAAACAATGTAGTCCAAAGTAGTAAATACATACATACATTTTTAAACTCTAGGGCAGGATTCATATTATATTTACTATTATAAATTTCATTATTGAGCGTATTTTAGAAATAATTCTCTTAGTCGTTGTAGGAAGTATTTGATTATTGACTGTATTTCAACTATACGCAAGACCCTAGGTTTGTTTATTTTTTTACAAAAAAAACCTCGAAAATTCCTATTAAAGGAAGACCCATATAAAAAACGGTATAGAAAAAGTTGATAAGTGAGCCTATTTAAATAGAGTTGTAGAGAATATCGTGATTAGTTGCTTGATTACTCCATATGAATATTAGTCGGAAATATGTCTTTTGTTCATATTGTAGCAATTACAATTTCATACCTCAGGAAGTTAAATAGATGCTTCAAAAAATATGCCAGTAATCACCAGACATCTGCGTATAGTATAAATAGTCGTGGTTGCCCAGTTGTTCATCACTATCTTCTATTCATAGTATTCTTCTATTCATTGTGAGAAAGACTGGTATTTTATTTTTACTTGCTATCGTTCGTTTCAAGCTTCCTAGAATAGTAAATCAGATGACACGTAATTAATAAGGATGACATTAATTTAATCTTAAGCAAAAACGAATTATGTTAAGGACAGATTTTCAGAGGATATTCAAATTTAAATAAGTTTTCGTGTACTCTGATATTTATCTCCATGATATTATCATTCATATTGTTATTGTTATAGTGAATAAAATATTGTACATATTTTAATATTATGATTTGCTATTTATTTTCTTCACTGCTATATTCGATTTAACTTCTATTGCATTTTAAACGAAAGAATTATGTTAATATACCTTCACTTTGCTGTTTGCTATTCAAGTTAAGTCAAGTTATCGCAAGGAAAATCGATTGAAATGACATGACACGATAAAACGGAAATAAAAGGAGAGTTAAGTTGACATGAGTTGTTTTATACAATGAAATAACACGAGTTATGCACAAACAACTTAATTATTTTTACCACTAAAGGAAACATTCAATTAAGTGATAATCAAATGATAAAGTTGGTATAAATCTGTTTGATAAAAAGCCACTTGGTGTGGTGTGTTGAATCATCGTACCGGCATATCTTAGCTGTTTCTAATGCGGATTCATCTGTCTTCCGTTCTAATAATAGAGTATATATGTATATATATATATATATAAATTAAAGTTTCTAGACATTTACCTCAGGAAAAAGAAAATGTTCTCTTGCTTGTAGAGGTTGTTCAAAGGATGAACTGCTCATATATCCAGGTGATGGAGACTCACTTTTCTCTAAAACTGGAGTAATGTTTGCGTAGCTTGATGGTGTTGTTGTTGTCGTCGCTCGTCCTTGTTCTGTTAAAATACTACGATCCAATTTGTAATACTCTTTTCCACTACGAGGACGTAAAGTAGTTGTTACTGCTCTGCCTCCCAATCTAGAAGAGATAAAAAACATTTTAGGAAACGATCATTAAAAGATTATTGCTAAGATTAATACTTCCGCTCAGAGTGTACATTATTCTTTTATTAGCTTAACAATTTAATGTTTTATGTTTGATAAAAAAGTTTTTTATTTTCGAATAAAATTTTTGTTTTAACTTTCTATGTTTTTTTGCATGATAAACATGCTGGTAATGAGAAAACTAAATAATTTATACCTCATAAATTGAGTAATTGAATAAATGAAAAGAGTTAATGAAAGTAGATAGATATTTTCAGTAAATAATTTACCTCAAACTGTCTGGCGTATCAGACGAAGAGTGTGATGAAAGCGAGAGTGTCTCAATATAATCAGACATATCTGAAGTGCCGCTACTTGTACTCCTTGAGTCAATATACGGAGTACCAGATGTTTCTCCTGGACTACTGAATCCTTTTGAACTTTTGGGCAAACATGTTGGTATATCGCCCTCCGCTGAAGAAGATTTAGTTGGTATCTTTATTTTTTGAAATTGAAAAGATAATTCTCGTAGTGGATCACTAGATTTTGATTTTCTCGGTAAGCTGCTATGATAGCAAACTGGTGGAGGACTTTTACGACATATCGTAAGGATATTTTGCTTTCTCGAAGAAGAAATAGGTGTTAAAGAATATTCAAATTCTACGAATTCGGCATTTCGATGGCTAAGGGATCCAGTAGAGACTCCAGAGTCGTTGCTACTTGATGAATCTCTATTGTGCCCAGCTTTAGATGGCACAGATGATGATCGTCGTATTTTTATTGAAAACGGTTGAGAGACTCCACTTGATTCATCACAGTCACGATTCACCTTGAGATCCGAATTGATGCATGGAATAGGTTGATCTTTATTTATCAGAGACGATTTATCCGTTTCACTCGAGCATTTGTGAATCACATTTGAAGATGAGAAACCAGGACTCGAATCCTCTAGGTAATGTGCAGATTCCGCTGAATAAGAGCGTTTTCTCCACAACATTTCCAAACTGGCAGTACCGTCAATACTGTGTGATGGATCGATTAAACGGCGTCTAAGGTAGGGACTTGATAACATCGCGGATCCGGGAATTCGTAATTCAGAATCCGAACGCTTTCTGTTTCCTTCAATCAATGAAGAGCTACCAAAGAGCGTAGGGTTGCTGGAGCTCTTAGTTCCACCGCAAATACGCGAGATAACTTCCTTTGAGCAAGCATTATGAGCAGGCTGCATCGGCAAGTACCCCGGAAATGGTTTCTTTAACTGCTTATCTGGATCCATCTGCAGATAGTTGGTTGCATTGTCTTTTACATGACCGCATTTATTACATACCTTGTCGACTTCTTGCTCACTATTATCCTCCTCATTATTCCTGTCTTTCAACCCGTCTGCAATTTCCTCCATCTCTTCCTGAGAAATACCCATCCTCGTGATAAGATCTCTACTATTCTCATAGTGTTCAAGAGATTCGGTAAAGTCGATATTAACATAATTGGCTCGTTTTGATTCTGGTTGCGTGTCGATAACTGGTTCCACATTTTCGTAGTTATTCGTTGTAGACTTTGACAAATAGTCGTTCTCATTTTTTATAGCACAACTGCCCAGATGATTATTTCCAAACTCTTTGCTGCCACTTGGATAAATTGCTAGTTCACCATTTGCATTCACAACTGGCATTTTTCCTTCTCCTGATAATTTCACGGGATGAACGGCAACGCCAGTGGGCTCAATGCCAGCTCCTCGTCGGCAATAAGGCAAAACAAAACCAGCCCAACTCATAACATTGTGACAGGGACATCCCAAAGACCTTGGCGATAGAGCTGACATTTTTGCCGGGCATCCACACTGTTGTAACATAACAGCTTGTGGAGTATGTGGTGTATCGTAATTTGGATAATTTTTTGGGAGTGCAAGACACTCTTTTATCTTACGAGGAGTATCATAATATTGATCACCTTGATTAGTAGGTGGTTCTAGCGACATGTGATGAGCTAAAATTGTTTTTGGAATATCATAATTTTCATAAGGGCTCGACTTGACACGTGTAACTGCATTTTTAGACTTGCACGTACAAATTTGTTCATTAGGCAAGGGCATAGGTGGCTTCTTTGTCTTCATTATGGCAGTGGACGGTTTCTGCGGTCTTGGTGGCAGTGTAGTAGGACTAGGTGATAATGATTTCTGTTGTTGCTGCGGTTGCGCTGTTTGCTGAATTTGCAGTTGTTGTTGTGGTTGCTGCTGTTGTTGTTGTTGTTGTTGATCTGGTTGCTCTTTAACCGGTGACGTTTTTGATAGAACACAGACACTTGAATCTGCATTTTGTGAGCCGGAATAATCGCTATCGTGACTGGAACTGCTGTATGACGATAACGATAATCTGTCGAAGGCGCGTGGCTGCTGCAAATGGCAACCTGGATTATTGAGATGATTGCCAGATGTTGAACTCAGAGTGGTTGTTGTATTTCCACTAGGATTTTTCGATATTGCTCCCAATTTACTGATGCAGCTGGAACATCTTTCTAAGCCAGACGTATTTTGTCGTGGAAGTGAGCCATTTCTCCATTCTGTCTGTTGATCTGTTAGCTCTGTAACAGAACTCGTTTCACGGCAACTGTAATCACCATCTAATTCCGTGTGATGTCTGCTTTCGGTTGAAGACCAGCAAGGCGAAGTCTCAGTTTTACAGCTCTCAAATTGTTCTTTGTAAGTAGTGGTAGTAGTATAGGAAACAGTTGAGGGGAAAAAATCACTAGCTCTAGTATCAGATCTAATGAATTGACGTCGTGGGCTGTCCTGCGCTGATAGCTCGCGCCCCAATGGCCTCTTTCGTGTCGCCAACTTCCCCTCAGCTGCCAGCTGGAGCGTCTTAACGATATCGTCGCCCTGATCTGTTATAAGCACATGCAACCCTTCCCCTCGACCACATCTCGACCCACCTTCGAAGCAAAATCTCCCCTCCACTACTCCATAACGTCGTAGATGGGCAATTTCCCAAACGCCAACAAGCCGAGGCGGTACACCAACTGTGAGACAAAATCGTCGATCTTGAATGTGCAAATGTGCTGGACCATTCGCAACTTTTGCTTTTGATGGTGCCGATGATATTATGATTAAAAATTGTTGGTCTGAAAAGAAAAAATATTGCCTTTTAAAAATCCATTTATTTTTTTTTCTAGGAGTAATAATAAATTCTCGTATTCTGAAGCGGAAAAAGGGGCTAAATCAAAAGAAGTTCACACTAGATCTCAACAGCTATATCTTTGTCACGTTGTGGTTATTTTAAAACGATATGTTCTAAATAAAAATTGAAATCGATACTTTTAAAGTGGTTCGAAATTTTTCAACAATACGATATTTCTTTTTTTGTTTCATTAGAGTTAACGCTCATTTCACACACTATTTGCCATTTAAATTAGTACAAGGTTTTTCAATAGAAATGATCAAACTTTATTTAAATCGGAAAAATTCTTGACCTGACTTTTTCATGCAAATAATGAAATTTGCATCGATATAACTTTATCCTTTATCGCACTCGTGCGATCTAAGATTTTAAAAATAAGTAACTTTTGTTCTCAAGTAATTTTAAACATATTTCAAATATAACCCAAATGAACGTGCAAATAATATTTTCTCAAAATTTTAGCTTGAAGTTTACTGGATGATAACAATAATAAAATAATATTTACTATTAATCACGATAATTATGCCGTAATACATTGATAAGATAATAGACACAACTTTAATAACGAACAAAATCTAATAAATTTCATTATTGAAACCATGAACAAAATTATAGATATATATCTACCAGTATAACTCAATATACCAAGTCAATATCTAGATGAAACAGTCTAAACAATTTATAAACTTATCTTCTTTTTCGCTTCAGAGCAGAATTTTACATTTAATTATATATCTTACCTTCTCCTAAATTACTTGAAATCTTCACCTGCCACTGTATCAAGCGTTCTCTTGTATCAAAAGCAAGCACGACTATCAAGTCTTGGCAAATAATCGCGATAGTATTCGACTCTTTATCAAGAGTAAAGCCACTTTCTATTCCTAAAAAATGTTGTAAACTCAAAGACGCTTTGGTCTGGCCTTGTTTATACCTATCTTTGCTGTCTCCATAAAGTTGCAGGTGTAAACAGTCTGAAATGATAAAGAAAAATCTCAAGAAACATGGTTTTGCGATATTGAGACGCAAGAAAAATGGTAAGTAGAGAATTTTTTAGGGTGCATGTCGTTAACTCGTGTAAGACGAGAGTCCATTTTGGCATGAATGGGTGCTATAAGAAACCATGTAGTTAGTAAAATACAACAGATGTGTTTCTTTAGTTTTTTTTCTCATCGTATTCAAATATACCCCACTACATCAACAGATGTGTCTAAAAAGATTCAAGCAGGGATTTTTGTCACGCTGATAACTTATAGAGAATTTGAAGGGTAAAGCCTTAGGTCTTTTTAGTTTGAAAATAGACGTTTCCTACTCGTTAAGTTAGTTTTAGTGGCTTCTAAATGAAGCGACGAGAAATCCCTTTCAATCCACATCCTCCCCGCAATAAAAACTGACAGCTCTTTAGCTGTCTAAGAATAAGTTATTAACTCGAATGCTCTATAATTGATCTCATGTACGGGTGTGGGAAAAAAACACAAGGATAATATTTTTTTCAACATGAAAAAAAATATTTTTGTTACGTTACCTGCAACTGGCGACAATTTCCGCATAACACACCACCGAGATTTCCACTGAAAATAAAAATTCCATTATTAATTTATTATTCAAACAGCTTTTTTGATGAATTTGTTGTGAACAACTCTGGTAAATACTTTGGAGTACATTCATTTTAATTAGTAATAACAACTTTGATATATCGATGTAATTGAATTAAAAACTATGTTAGCTTTATCATAAGTACTCTCTATAAGCTAAAAAAGTTTTTTTTAATTTGCAGTTAAAAAATTGATATAGTATGATAATAATAATAGTGACAGTTAATTAAATCTCTGTACATGAATTATTTTAAATGGTACTGTTTTAAAACAATATTTTTAAACTCAACGTATTCTGTTTTTGATTGTTGGCTAAAAAATAGTCTATTTACTGTTATTAGTGAATATAATTCATTTTAAAAAATTTCTATTGAAGTGTATACTAGAAAATTACAAAGAGTAGCAACCTAATAATTATTTTTAAGTCGGTTTTTTGTGTGTATAAAGCTTTCAGGAATTTATTCATTCCTTTGAGTAGTAAAGCAGGGCAATAAATTACAAACTAAAAAAATTACCAAGCAAAAGAGAACAATAAGAAAAGGCTGTTTTAGTTTTTTAATGGAATAAAATGCAAATTTCTTAAATACAAAATTCGCAAATATTTTCTACAATTCATAACGAGTCAAAACAAAAAATTTTTATGTGATAAAAAATGTACATTAATACAACGAAATAATCTTTTATAATAATTTTGGAGTCGTTAAATATGATGTGCTAAAAGATGGCATATTTTTGATCAATTGTCATGGGTTTTAGGGACATCCTTATTGCTTCGAGAAACAGGGCAATTAAAAAAAATCGATATTTCGAATATACACTAAATTGTCCGGAACACCCTACAACTACAAGTCTTTTTTCCAGGACATATAAATCTTTACCGTCTCATTGGACAATAAGAATGTCCACAAGGGCAATGCGGAAAGTGTGAATTGGATCTGAAGAAAGAAAATATCACGCATCTGCCCGCGCGAACCACAGCGACGCAGCCGGCTTTACTTTTTATTATGATCATTATTATACATACACTAAGTAAAGATACGCAGCGAAAATTATTATCGAAAGGAAGTGTCAATGACTTCCTATAAAGATTATTGTGTTATTGCGATATTGCAATGTACACATAACATATGCATAAATTTTTGCTTCGAAAATCAGCAAGAAAATACACTTACTTTTTTGCCATCGCGAAATTTGACATTTCCCTCGATAATACAATTGTTATCCACCATTGTAGTAGACAGCATTTATCTCGCTGGCAGATGTTTTACTCATAACTAACGCACATTTAACACTGGTAATTTCATTCTTTATATTTTACATCACTCATAAAATACTATTTTATTAATGCTCCACAACGTTTTTAGTGATGTTTCTTCAATACAACTTGTCAATCACGCGGCGAAATTCATACTCCAATCTTTTAGATTTGTAGCATCCATCTTAACTTACTCTACTATTCTAATCGACTGAAGCAGTTCAAGTTTCTCTCTACCCTCACTCCTATCCCTCGGCTTTCGGAGCGAGACTGCGTTTTCAGTGCCACCACAATCCCAACATAAAAACATAGGTCGTGAAAATATTTCATTTTTTAGTGGTGGTAAAAGTGTTTTGACTTTTCAGGGTCTTAAAACTCGACTCATAGATTATTTTTATTGTAATTGTCATTAAAATTTTCTGTTTTGACATTTCGAAAACGAAATGATCAATAATTGCTATTATTTACTTATAACATATTGTTGACAATTGTTTTAATCAATAACAATGAATTCGGAGAATGACGTCTGCTGGTTTCATGGTAAATTGTCTCGTGAAGGTGCTGAGTTTCTACTGAATAATGGTAAAAACTTCAGATATATTAAATGTTTTTTCTATCATATGCATTGACTGATTACTCCAAAATGTGTTGACACGATGAAATGTTCAAAATTATAATATTATAAACTTTTATTTAGGCAATAATAAAGATGGAACATTCTTAGTGAGAGAAAGTAGCACCTCAATTGGTGATTATGTTTTGTCTGTTTTATACGATCAAGAGGTCATTCACTATCAAATTAGAAAACACAAAGAGGATGCTTTTTTTTGTATAGGTAAGAAATAGTCAATATAATATTTAATGACTACACTTTTCTATTTTCCAACTCTAAAAGCTACATATTCCTAAGCCATTAAACTTCAAAAATTGACAGTAATAAAGAAAAAAGATTGCCATATAATTAAAAGTTTATTTTGCTTTATTTCAAAAATTCATCTTCAATCTGCAGAAGATAATACTCCACCTCTTCATGGACTGGAAACATTAATAGAGCATTATCGAAGAGACAAGTATGGATTGGAAGTAAAGCTAGGAAATAGTTGTAAAGGTGATCCTCCACCTCCTGATACACGAAGACATGGTAGAACAAATCTTTTACATCGAGCTACTGGAGAAGGAAATTATACTATTGTTTCGGAGCTCCTTAAATGTGGATATCGTAGTCTAGACGCTAAAAATGAACTTGGACAGACTGCAGTACATTTAGCGGCCAAGGATGGAACTGATGATATTTTAAGAAAACTTATTGATAGTAAAGCTAGTGTAAATTGTCGTGATTCAGCAGGATATACCCCTCTCCACGTAAGTTTTTGTTGTTGTTATTTTTAATTCTCTACGGAAGTAGGAAGTGAAATGAGTCAAAAAATAAATCAATGTTCTGAATGTCTTTCTTCTAATGAGTGTTTCCCTACTTTTTTATACATTTTTTTTTCTTTGTGGTAATATGAAAATAAGCTATATTTTTTTATTAAATAAACGTCAAGAAATCTTGTGAAACCACAGCTTAAAAATATCTTATAAAAATTAAAATATTTATTAAAAAAAATTATTACTAAATTTTGAAAGATATAAAAAAATGTAGGACTGAATTGACTTATTTTTTATACTTTTATATACAATAATTTGAATACATTAGTTCCGATTAATATACTTTTGTATAAGTATTGAACCTTTTTTTAAAATATTTCAACTATTTCTCAAGCAGCGTTCGGAATCGACAAGGTAATAATGAATACCACAATTTCAATATTATCATTCTTTTCTCCCTTTTGAACTTACAATTTATGTTTCTTTTAAAAACCTGTAAATAACTCTTGTATGTTTTGATGTTATTTATTGTAGTATGCATGCCAAAGTAACTTACCCAATACCGTCAGAATTCTTGTTCGAGGCGGAGCAAATGTCCAGGCGAGGCACACAGACACGGGTAATAATTTGATGTACAAAGTTAGATAAATAAAAAAAAGGAAATATCATAAATTAGATTACAACAATATTTATAACTTCTAGAGTTAATTAAAATTTAATTAATTATTCTAAAGGTATGGTACCCCTTCATGAAGCAGCTGCTGCGGGTCATAAGGAAGTAATACTTGCACTGTTGTCGATGAATGCACCAGTTAATCCTAGGACAATAGACGATGAAGTGCCACTTGATCTTGCCAAAAGAAATGGTCATCATGAATGCATAGAATTACTAAGTAAAGTATTTTTTATTCTTCATCGTAAATTTTTCATGAGAAAACTTTTGATAATTAATTATCTATTTTTAATCCAGGTAATTATAAGACTCCAGCGTCAAAAGAAAAAAGTTCAGACTGGTATCATGGAACTTTAAGTCGTCCTGAAGCTGTAGCACTTTTGCATGAAAATGGAGATAAAGACGGAAGCTTTTTAGTCCGATTTAGCGATCGCAGGCCAGGAAATTATGTTCTTACAGCTATGTATCATGGTCGAGATTTTCATTTTCAGATTCAAAAAAAGGTTAACTTTTGTCTTTAATTGTTGAAAAAAAAACCAATGATATATTTTGGTCGAACTTAGTTGTTAAACTTTAAATGGAAATACAATTGTAATAAAAAAACTTGATATTTTTATTGCAGGACAAATACTTATTTATTGATAATGGGCCGTACCTTGATTCATTGGAGCACATCATAGAGCACTATCGATCGATGCCAGATGGATTACGTGGCCCTCTTGTTCATGCAATTCCTCCAAAGCCAAGACCACCTGTCCCCGAAATGCCTCCCTCCATTTTCAACGGTGTAAGTATTATTGTCCATTATTGTTCGACTGACTTTTGTAAATATTAGTCTTTCAAGAATTATTTCACATTTTCTATCGATTGATACAGCCGTAGTACTGTCACGATAAATCAAAACGATACACATCTGCTTTTAAATTTTTTATCGTACCTATTTTAAAAAAATTAACCGGTTTAATTCAACATTACTAGCATGTCTACATAATCCTGATAAAAATGACTATTATTGCGATAATGGATAATACATTATTTTTAAAATAATCATATACAATTATTTGCAAAAAAAATAAGTGTGATAAAAGAATTTATAAAAAAATTTTCATTTTTAGAATACATTGACTAAAAGAAATAAAGACACTCTTACAAAAAAACCAATAGCACAGCCCAGAACAGAAATACCATCTCAATCATATTTTCAAAATATTTCTTTTCAAATGGATATTAAACCAAAAATGAATATCGTACCACCTCTACGGCCTTCTGTAGATAGCAATACAAATTCAACGGCGACTGTTTCCCATGTTCACGGTAATACAAATATAAATTTAAAATAAAATTACCATACATTGAATCAACTTCAATAGAGATAATTTATTTTACATATTTGTAGATTTTATTCCGGGGGAAAATTTAATTCTTCGAGAAGTTCTTGGAGAGGGAGAATTCGGTGCAGTGTACGAGGGTGAATACGAAACTCCATCCGGTAAGACTGAGACGGTAGCAATAAAAACTCTGCGGGATTCACATAATAATGTTACGAGAGAAGAATTCCTTCGTGAAGCTCAACTTATGATGAATTTAAACCATCACTGCATCGTTAAATTAATTGGCTTTTCCGAAGGACCCCCTATGTTGATGGTAATTTTCTAACGCCCATCACGGATACCGTGAAAAATTACTAATAAAATAAAGTCATAAATTTTATTTTCATTGCTGTAGGTTCAAGAGCTCGTGCGATTGGGATCAATGCTAGCATACCTCCTCGAGTTTCCTGATAGAATCAATCCAAATTGTGAGTTGAAAATATGGGCGTCACAAATTGCTTGTGGAATGAAGTACCTTGAAGAATTGAGACTCGTTCACCGAGATTTAGCTGCTAGAAATATTTTATTAGCTTCTCGACATCAAGCTAAAATAAGTGACTTTGGTTTATCAAGGACTTTTGGTTCTAACGATTATTACAAAGCCACTCAAGGTGGAAAATGGCCTATTAAATGGTATGCTCCTGAATCTTATAACTTTGGGACATTTTCGCAAGCTAGTGACGTCTGGAGCTTCGGAGTTACTTTATGGGAAATGTATTCATACGGAGAACAGCCTTATGGAAATCGTCGAGGAGTAGATGTAAGTATTTTAATTTTTGATATTACTTTATGTAATCACTATGGAAATGGATGTATGAATAATTGATATATTAATATTAAACATTACTTATTAGGTCATTAAGCTGATTGAAACAGGCGAACGTCTTTCTAAGCCAGAAGATTGTCCAGATCATATCTTTGAAATGATGCAAAAATGTTGGTCTTATCATCCTCATAATCGTCCGACATTTGCAGAATTATTTGAATTTTTCAGTACTGATCCTGATTATGAAAATTTAAAAGATCTCGTTGCGAACGTGAATATCAGCTGATAAACTAAATGTAACGTTACAGTATAAATGACTTCACTTTTAAATATAAAACAGTAAAATGCATGTTTTATCAATCATACGACTATTAAGAAATTTTAATTCGTGATTTTAATTAAAGAATACGTATGTATTATCTTTCTTTTAAATGAGGACTAACTATTTCGGATAAATATATGAATAATGTTATAAGACAAATTGTTGATAAAATGAATGTGGGATAAATGTTAAAGTTTTGAATGTAAATTGAATCTATTTTTAACTATTTTTATACCAAAATTATAATGCATTCAAATTTTATATTTTATTATAAATAATGAAATAGTTATAATAATGATGTTATAGGAAAATGGTGCCAATATTATGTGCCATTAGAATCGTCGCATATTTGTCGAATTTTTGTGTACATATCAAAATAAACAACATAACTATCATGAATGATAGATTTGTGCGGTAAATAATAATAATAGACAATGAAAAAGAGAGTGACAAATTTATTTTATCATTATAATCGCAGTTTATCATAAAAAAAAATCATAGATAATGCATTTATTAAATACATATGATAACAAAATACACAAAAAGTATAATTATCAGTTTCTGATTATGTTTTAAATCATTTGTATTCGTAATACCTCATACTTCCATATGCATAAACTATCGATTAACGATAAAATTAATTAGTCTAAGGCCATTGGTCATATTACTTTTAATAATCGACATGTATGGAATTTCTTCGAATAATTATCTCACTTTATCTCAAGAAACGGTTTTTATCACTATAGTTGATTTTGTTTTGTAAAAAAGTTCCATATAATTCTATATTTTTCTTCTATTTTTTCATCTTTGTTGCAATAAGAAAAAAAAGTCTAAAAAACATAAACTTAAAGGACAATTGTAAAAATCGTAACTTATTAAAAAATATTGTAAGCTTATAAAAAGTTTTTTTATTTGCATTTTAAGAAGAAAGCTTTTTGAATGAGTGAATTTCTTAAATATTATGATAGTTCAATGATTTATATGACCATGGCAAATATATAAAAAATGTAGATACCACTATAATATATATCATTCTTCTATGTACAAATTATATACAGGATAAAGAAGATAAATATTTATATATTTAAGGATTAAAAAATTTTTTGAAAATCCACTCGTCTTATAACAATTTTGAAAATCATGTTTGTTATTTTTAAATAAATTTTATTAAAATCGATATCGATTGATAAGGTTTAAAAAAAAAATAAAAAATTGTTCATGTTAAATATTAAAAGCTCTATTTCCTTTCGTGCCAAATACAAAATGCAATGTGTTTCAAATTATACTATTTTTCAAACTTCTTAACATAAATATTAATAATAGTTAATGTATTAATTACTTTAAACATTAACAATGCCAAATTTGTAATTTTATTTGTATCTTTTTACTCTCTTCATAGGGTATTACCCAATGATTATAAATATATTTCAACTTTTCGATTTATAGTATCGCGTAATAAACAATAAATAAAGTAATTTAACTCTATGTACATTTCCGACCCTTTGCATCATTTTGTAATGTTTGTATGAATGTATTTTTCAATATACAATACAATAATCAATTAGCCAAATATGTATGAACTTACAAACAATTTATAAATTTACACTAGACATAATCGCGTATTTATAAATTATTTAGATGATATTTGTTTTTCGCTTTTTTATTCAAAACTTTTGATACAAATAAAATGATTAAATTTAAATGATATTTTTATTTTTAGAAATCAATTTTGTATTACATAAAAATGAGTGTGTCAATTACATATTTTACGCGAATTCAATTGTCAAATTCTTTGCGAGTTGACATATGACAGATTCATAAAACACAATCCCTTTCCCAAGTACATTCCAATACAATAAATACTATGATTCATAAATTAACTACAATCTAAATCATATCAATAACAATTGCGTGAAAAAAGAAATAGATATAATCGTATGTTTAAAATCATGCATCTAATAATGATAGTATGATTGCAAAAGATGATACTTTTCCACAAGGAATCATGTTTTCAAAATTTATTTCCGCATTTATCTACTCGCACATTCAAACTTAGAACAATAATAACACTCGCTGATATAACCTTTTTCAATTAAGACAATTTCCTACAGCTAAATAAATAATTACGTCTCTCTTCTGTTATAAACTTCCCTGAGCTTCCTGAGTCATAGAGAAGAACTGAGAGACAGAAGAAGATCAATCTCGGGGATGAAATCAGACTGGTCCTCCGCAACCACCCACATCAGCTTGATATCTCAACGTCAAATACTCAGCTGCCTGGGTCATACGTTTGATACTGCGATGAAGGCCATGTAAATGGCGTCTGAAGTTTTCGGCTGCTTGATTTGCCCATTTATCATTAGGTACATCTTCACTTTCCATTCCAGAATCATTTTCAATACCAATATCCGAATCTGAATCACTAGAGCTGGAGCTAGAGATTAGAGATGATGCACTCTGCATGCTTTGAACTGATGTTGTGCTTGGACAACGTGCATGTCCAAGTCTTACAGTCTCTGTAGTCTTTTCAGTTGCTGATGCTGATCTAACTGGTCTTACTGGACGAGTTTCTTCAGTTTCATCTTCACCTGGAGTCTCATCACTAGCCTTTTGTGACCACAATAGTTCCAACTTCATTTTGTTCACAATATTATAGAGTCGGTATAGATCAGTATTGGGCATTGTGTCTTTGATTGTACTTTTTCCTTTCTGACAGACTGTATCTCCTGCATCGCCAACAGCTAGATCCAGAAGTCGAGATGGAACTAGGATCGTTTCTTCCATTTCATTAACTGCTTTCACGAACTTCTCCATGCTGTTCAATATACTAGCATTGCTGAATTCTGGCTCATCATGCCTTGCAATTCTTCGTAAACTCGTCCTGTAAATACAAAAAAAGAAACTACTATTAAAATTCATTCTCTAAGAACTTGAAAGTAATGATGATCTTTAAGTTTATCTTAAAGAAAATTATTACTGATGCTTTTAGTCAATACTTTTACTAATTTCAATCTTAAACTACTTCAGTAATATATTTTATTTAATATCATTAAAAATCTGTTGCTATGATGAAATATCAAATGAATACATAATTATATTCTAAAATAGTTGTCAAAGGTTCGGAATTTACCTATAAATATTAAAGAGCATATATTCAACATTTCTAAATGCATCCATTGATAGTATAAATAAACTTATCTAATAGCATTTAAAAAATATTGTTATCTAGAAGACTAAAAATGTAAGTGATGACATAATGACTTCATCAGTAATTATGTGTATTTATAGAAAAATATATTGTATATAAACTTAATTAAATAAAAGTTGTTGATAAATATTTTTTAATAAATTCATTTCTTTGATAATTCGAAATTCTTTATTTCACAATGATAAAAATTTTAACTGTAAGAAAAGCAAGTAAAGCACGTTTCGTTGAAGGTAAGCTAATTACAACGAAATTTCTTGAATCAGCAAGAAAAAAGAAGCACGTCATCGAAAATTATCTCGTCTGAAATATTTCGTTATTTAGATGATATAATGCGTAGTAGTAATTAACAAAATCTTCACGTTTTCGAAAAAAGTTTATGAAGATTAAATCTTTTTTTCTTTCTAAACTCAATCAAAGAAAAACACAAGTTCATTATGATTTACGTCACGAATAATGAGTTTCTTTATTATTGTGGGATTTTTTTGAACTTGAACAAAATTATTTATTGATCATTACTGTTACATCTGAATAGAAAAAAAAAATTTTGATTACTTTTAACATCATGATAACTTTTCCACGTGCAATTCAGGAAAAAACCGATGATATCATGTTACAAGAGAGAACAAGTATGAATCAGAATATCATACTGGCATTTTGCCATCAAATGAACACAACTTTACAAATAAAAAAAGGAAGAAACCCAAACATACTCTCATGTTCAAGGACGGTCTTTAAATGCAGTTTTCAACTTTCATGTCCTACAAATTGAGCTTCCAATTGGAAGCATCTGATAGGCTTTGGAATGTGCTGAACAGCAAAAATCACTTAGTCTCAATCATAAAAACTTTATGCATTCCTGTTGGTTAAAGAATGTTTCCGGGTCAGAATAAAAAAATTCAGCGATCCAAGTACGTCAATGACCATGGAATAATTTAATATTTTGTAATTCAACTTTTTAAGCAAAGTAATCAATTTGGTGTGTAATGACAATGTCCGTTTATTACTTATTCCTAGCATTTGGTAATCAACGTGAGATAGTGAATAAAAAAAAAGAATATAAATAAATGTTTTTTTAATAAATTCATTACATTAATAAAATGCATATTAGAATTTAAAATGACATATTTTATAATAAATAAACATCATTATTATCATTGTAATGAATCTTATCCAATTGAAGTTTATTCGACCAATCTCATGTTAAGTACAATTATTGACCTTATGTCAAATAGCTTCCGTAGGATCTTTGACCGTTATTGATTTTTTATTTACCTTGGTGGTTGCTCATGTTAATGAAAGTAGATAAATTACATCATTGGTATTTTTTGCTTTCTGTATGCTAAATATTTTCGCCTATTGTATTCAAAATTCATATTATTTTTTGTCCACTAGAATGAATTATTTATTTTGAAAATAAATTATTGCAATTAGCTTTCACTTATATCAGTTATATGATGTTCATTATCAATATACTATGCATTATAAGTATTTACTCAGATAGATTAAGATATTAATTACATTTACCCAGAAATCTACTTAATCTTTTTATTCTACTTCATTGAAGTCTAATTAATACAATTGTTGGTAATGATCACAATATTATAATTTAGATCTTTTGTTCCACTTGATTTTGTGATATTTGCCTTAATTTTTTTTACAAGTTTTATTCTCAGTTTTTTTTAAAAAAATCAGTAAAATTCAATACACTTAAATACTTTTGGTCTCGATGTAAGAGTGGAGAAAGAAACGGTATTAATTTCAAGACCACTCGTGTGGACTTTAACCCGATGTCTACACTACAGAACATTGGTCTAAAATTTCGTGTATTACAAAAATACGAAAAATTATTTCCGCTTAAGTAAATACAGTCAAGTTTTATGTAAATTGCAAAAAAAAAACAGTTGAGAGAAAAAAATTTTTCACTAACATTTGATGAAACTAAGAAAAATTGGAATCTAAACATGATGCAAGGATAAAAATTCACGATGAATTTTTGTTTAACCTACTACAACACTCTCAAGCCTTTCACTTGTCTCCACACTCCATTAATATGACATAGATTTAAATGAACGTAATCATTTTCGTACAACAGTAGAATTCCAAGAGTTGTTTTCACATGACCTCGTCTTATGTCTTAATCCAAGTGAAAATTCTTCAAGATCGTCGAAAGTGTCCTTGGAAGGTTATTTTATTAATAGAGACAAGCTTGATGATGATGATGATGATGTTCTTAATTCACCATCATAGCAAGTCAGTGTTTGATGATAATTTTATATTGGTTACATGATCATGCAAAGATAGCGTGCATAAGACATGTGAGGGTTGCAATCTTTTTTCTTCATCAAAGAGAGTGGGAGAAGCTGAGCGTGTGGCTATAATCGAATCACAAAGTCGAGCACTTGCTACTACCGTGTCATCATCACCCGAAGAGGTCGAAGCAAGATAACCATGCCGACGACCGTCTCGTGAACTGGATCTAACCGGATAGCTTGAGGTGCTTCCTCTTCTTTCTTCTCTGTTTCTCATCTTCTATACCCAATAAAACAATCACACTGCCAAGCTAAGTTATCAATTCATCGATTGGGGTCAACGATTTGAGCATATATTTTTCCAACTCTAAAAACACTTTTAGTTCTATTTTTAGTTCTTATCAAATTTTGTTCATTACATCAATCATAAAAAATTCTAGGGCAACATAAAGAGTATTTGATAACATCAAGCATTTTTAAAACCAATTAACAATTCATATTTTTATAATGGGCTCATTTTTCTATTGATTATATGAATAATCTATTCTACAGCTCAGATTGGCATACATCTTTCACACCACCAAGGCTTCAATGACCTAACTACTTATTTGAATATAAATTATTAACTCATTCATATTCTATTTTAGTAAATTTATAAATTTATCAGTAGAAATGTAAAAATAGATATATTTTTATCTAAAAAAACTGTAATTTTTGTCCCGGTCGATATGTTTTGACTTGTTAATATTTTATATTGCTTCAGATTTCGAATATTATAATTCCTATAACTTTTTTTTTTAAAATAGTTAGTAGCTGCAAAGGTCATAAGTAGCATTCTTCTTTACTTTAAGCGAAAGAGTCCAGTTAACCTTGAATAAAATCAACAGCATCTAATAGGAACCTACGAAATTATATTATTGTAACGGGTTGACAGATGAAAAAAATTGATGTAACATTCGACCAATGAAAATTTCCAAGGTTCTGAAATATTTATCAAGGTTTATCGAACTATGAACACCTGATCAAACGTAAACTGCCCAGTTTTATTATTTGTCAACTCATTGGATTCATTGACCTTGTGTCAAGTAAGAAAGTGCATTAGTCAAAAGATAAACATTAAGAAAAAAATAAGAACTGTGTAACTAATAACATTGCTCATTAGATAAATTACAAAATCCTTTTTTTTTCCTTCAATTCATTAACTTACTTAGCAGCGAACATGAATAATGAAATGATTCAGTGATCAGAAGTAAACGAACTTTTTTTTGTTCTCGTCAACAATCTTTTATTAGTTTCTCCATTTCTTTCAATTTCAAAAAAGTTAAAAAAAATGATTAAAAAAGACTTTTCCCAATCAGTTTCATCACAATTAAAATATAAAACTGTCCAGGATCTTTATAGAACCATTTCTAAAGACTCAACATTCTTTTATTGTTTCTTTTTTTAGTACAAGTAATTAACTCCTATAACTCTTTTGATTGAAAAACAAGTTCATTAGTATTTTTTTCTCTCTAATAAAAATTCCATTGACTTAATGAAATAATGAACAACAAAAATCGTAAAGAAAAAATTAATTAATTCAGTATAAATACAAGAGCATATAAAAAACCATCAAGATGAAATATTAATAGAGAACTTTAAGAAAATAAATACATCAAATCAAGAGCAATAAGTCAATGTTTGTATGACAAGTCTTTACGAACTCAAATAATTAACACCTCAATGGAGCAAAAAATATGTTCCTTCTTTCAGTCACAACCTAGACTTATGGAATCTGAGAAATGAATATTAAAAACAAGGATAAAAAAGATAAATAGTTTGAAGAAATAAGATAATTGAATCAATTATTATAAGAAGACTTACAAGTTTGTGATTTTGTAATGAAACGAATTTATTTCCATTTATAATATAATTCACTTGTCCACTCGAATATATTAAAGTATCTCTGGAAGTTTCTAGTAACAACGTCAATACCTATCCACTGTAATTACGTTATCGTTTTATTCGCGATGAGGCGAAGGTTACGCTGGAATTGACAACACCATCAGAAAAGCTTCTTTTCGCTCTACAGCTATCGCGTAATCGTCCCAACGAATTGCATATTATCAGATATTGACGTTGTACTGATCCGATACTTTCTACTTTTACTTCTTATTCCCCTCCAATAATTCTTTCCAATCTCAGTAGGTAACTCCCAACTACATGTGTCTATTCCTACACACTTGTCCGACACTTAATCAATTATGCAATTTTTAATGATTAGAATCATATTATTTGTTGAAATATTTTATAATAAGCCTTTGAATTGACCTGCTTAAGGCTTTATTAATCGGTATTTTATTTTATAATTATTTCTCTAATATTTATTTATTTTTATTTTCATGTTACGCTCCAAAATTATGCAATTTTCAATCGTAATCAGTGATTTCACTTCAATATTAAGGAAAAAATTAACTGGAGTAATTTAGATGTGAAGAATTGGAACTGTTTTATAAATATTATATTTATAAGCTGTGAAGATATTTAAGGATTTCTGATTATTCTACATATAATAGGTATATTTGGTGCCAACTTCCAATAGTAGAAAACACGTGCTCTCTCGTAATCAATGGTGGAACAGAGAAAGGTGTCACCGAATACTATTCCCAAGGTCTTTTGGATACACTCAATATAATAATCAAAGAGACATTAAATATTTTTTATAGTACATCAGTAAAAATATGATAGAATTCATGTAATTTTTAATTTGTGTACACAGGTAATAGCTTTTTTTATTTATCATTTTTATACTTTTCTATCTATATTTATTTATGATATAATTATACTGCTGATGAATTTAACTTTTGGTATCTTTTTTATATTGTTTGATATCATAGTCTAAAATTAATCAAATCATTTCTAAACAATTAAAAAATATTTACTCTATGCTCCATTTCTAGATAAACATTTTAAAATCAAGTCTAAAAACAAAAGAGAATGTTTCTAGAAAAATTGTAATAAATTTTTTAATGATTCTGATTTTTCTACTGACGTAAAACCTCTGGAAAATTGATGCCATGCGAAGTTAAATATTTACGTCAGAATGCAAATAATCGTATGAAAGAAAACTATACGTAAGAGTCTTTAGCCTTTAGTTGTATAGACAATTCCCTTTAATGTTAGTTAAAACATAAAAATGTGTGAAATTGAGTATACACATAAGTGTCGAAGTCTTGCATAATCATTAAGTTACACGAGCTAGTGAGTACACATGTCCTGAAAGTCGAAACAAATAGGTGCATATGCAATAAAAAGAGATGACAGCATTACAGAGTGAGAAAGAAAGAAAATAAACAATTTACAGAAAAAATTTAACTCTCTTCTTCTATGAAATAACTGATTTTTTTTTTTTTAATTTCTATGAGTTACATGACGTACTTTCTGCACTAATCAACTTTTCTTAATTTTTCTCTTTTATGTACATATTACATTTATCTTCATAACTCGTTACAGATGTGATATAATAATGATTACATTAACGGAAAAAAAATTCTTCCGTCCATTAAAAAATTTTTTTCTCGTTCAATAATGATAACAGTAATGAATTTTATTGCTTTGAATTCAGTTTTTATCTATGAAGATCCAGCATGATAGTGAATCAAGTATCACTCCATAGATTGTTTAATCCTCTTTCAACACTATCATAGATAGAGAAGCTTCCGGAAGAAATGTAACTGGTGATCAAAATAATTGTGGGTATTCCAACTACAACTAATGCAGATAATTTCTTTTCATCTACACTCCAATTTATGAATTATGCTGAAGCTGAAATTGATGATGCATTGCATTTAAATTATAAAGCAACATTGTAGTTGTAACTAATTTTCGTGTAAAAATTAATTCAATTTTTTTTAGGTCAGAATAATCAAAATTATATGTAATTTTATCATGTAAAATACTGTTAAATTTCATGATCACAATGTTTTACAATCAAATAAATATCATTTTCAAGTTTAATTATAGAATGTTATGACCTTTTCACTAATTGCTGGAATTAATTTTTATCTTTTTGCTTTATTATGATTAATGCATTTATTGATTCATAATTAACAAATAAAAATCAGTCATTTCCTGATTAAAATGTGCAGTGGGATTTCCTGCAATAATATGAAAGAAGAAAAATTGATGTAAAATTACTGGTGAGTCAATTGATTTTGAGAATATGATAAAAGTTAGTAATCACTTTTAACTAAATGATAAACGTATCCTATAGCAAATGACAGTGAATATTTTTTTATTGGATATTTATGTATATATTGACAATTGTCAATCAATATTATCACACTCCATTGTACAAAGGATTTCCGCAATTTATTTTTACCCATGCAATAATCCCAAAGTGCTAAATACAAGTGTCGTTGGCCGACTTTGCCCTGACGCATATAAATGAAGAAGTAGCACAGGGTCTCATACTTTCGAACCTCTGAAGTAGAATTAAATGATATTAGGTAAAATGTGAGAGAAGTTGTATCATTATTAACTTGAATTTTAATCTAAATCTGGGTGTACCAAACATTTGACACAAATTTCGAATTGAAAAGTATTTTTAATTATACCACTTGTGCATATGAGCAAAAAAAGACCTAGATTTTAAAATGAAATATTAGAAAGCTCACATCTGCTTTATAATTGATTACGTGTAATAAATAAATTTAGATGATTGAGCATATTACTATGTCATGCGGAAACTAGGAAAATTGATTGAAGCTCGTAGAGAACAACAGTTAGTCAATTTTACATCTGATTTGAAGATTATCACAATGACTGTTGTAAATTTATTTTTAGTTTCTGATAAATGATAATGAAATAACATATTGGTTCAGATAGAAATGTTTTTTACTTCTATTTAATTGTTTAATTAATCTTATCTGGAGTAATTAACTTATCGAATAATTATTGCAGAGTAAATTGAGCCATACTTGATGTTTTTTTAACTTATTTTTGTGGATTAGTGCAAATATCTCAAGTCAAAATGTCAATAAATAATTAATTATAATGATAAGAAAGAAGAGTGTAATATAATTGTTATTAACTAGATGTTCATAAGTAACAAATAAAAATTACCACACTATTGTTATGCTTTATGAAGAATTAAAAACAAATTTGTGATGACATTCAATAATAATTTACGATAATAAAATCGTGAAAATATTTGCATAAGATGTTTTGAAAATTGCTGGATAACACATCTGGAAGATATGGTCGAATATTTTTTTTCAACTAAGAATTTTCTTTTGTTTTTTTTTTGTGTGTATTTCTCAAAATGATTTCCATTTCGAAAATACATAATACACATCACTACATTCCAAAGCCTACTGCAGCGCTTTTTCAAACGGAAATCTTGTGTAACTCTTACAGCTATCTTTTGGGAATGTAGAATAATGGGATTTGGAGATGAAGATGAAATAATGCCGATGTGGATCATAAAAGGAAAAAAATTTACCGTTATTTACAATTAATTTCATTATATGGTTTTAATTCAAGTTTATGATGAAATGAAACTTGATAGCAATTGTATGGATGACTTCGATTCAAGTGTGCTGTCAATGTGAAATGTCCCACGCCTCTTAACACGCCGGTTGATTAAATATTCTATTCGAATTCTAATTTTCATTTCTGCTCTATTAAAATCCATAGTTAAATCTTCCAAATCATTACTATTTATATTTTTAATTAAAATAATGCCTTGAAAACACAAAAAATGCTCATCGTATAGATTATTGAGTGAAAGAAAGTTCCAGGAGGTAAGATATAAACAGATGAAAATTCAATAACTAACCTGTTAGTTTCGACATTAGACGTTATTTCTTCGGTACTGTAATTCATCATGGCACAATGATCTCTACTTTTTTAAATAGATGATTAAGAGATGCCTCTAGAATATGTTGAAAAATTCACGCACTTGTTTGAAACTCCAGCTGCAATGGCTTATTTAATTTCACTCGTTTGGCATCAAATTTGACGCTTTTGACTATGAAGACTGCCGTGAACAAGCAGAATAATAAATGAAAGAAAAAACTTAACGATCCCGGTTTATTTAATGAAAGATCGCTGCAAAAGTAAGCTCTTGTGTACAAGGCTCAAGACGAAGTGATTTCCTTAACTCTTTAAACACGGGTGTGTGCTTCTATGAAGAAGAAACACAAACGTATCACTAGTCACGACAGTCACAAACTAATTCAATCAAAGGAGAGACACGTTGATGCCACTACCGGTGGCTTTTATGAACCAACATGATGCTGAAGTGGGGGTAACAACAAACTACTGTCACTGCAGAGATTCCTATCCTTTACGATACTCAATTAATCTGCAATCAAGAGAAAAAGCATAAAACAAATTATTATCTTAGAATAAGTTTTGATCTTTGATCTTTGACCATGCTAATTTTTATTTATCATTTTTTATTTTCCTTTTAGAGTACAAATCTCGCGCCAATGGCGCTAGTATCGTTTGTTAGAGATTCAACATGTTAGCGTGGTTAGACTAGACAACATCTATCCTATGACCATGAATCCCCCAATGGTTTTTTCACACATACATCTCACTACTCCTGTCTAAATGAAATCGTACCATAATCCTGCGAAGCGATTGGTCGAGGACGAACACGCCAGACCGCGCGCATGCGATTGTGTATATAATTACACCTACACTAGCCTAAATTTATTTGACTCTAGCGTTTCTAACGTTCCAAGTTAAGATAGCGTATGTCGGATACACTATTAGAAAACACGCGGCACTTTTGTGAGAACGATGCAATGGGTAATTTCATTTGACGCAAAGTAATCATGCTTATTACTCGTATCGACAAACGAGTATAAAACGTTAGCGCGTGTGGTACTTAAAAAAATCATCATACGATCTGATGATAAATATAAACGATGTCAATTGCGCTGCTTTTATGATTTGAAAAGATGAAAAGGTGCCAAGATTAAATAAATTACTCGGAGATATTACAATAAAACATGATTTGCACACGTTTTTAACAGAATAAAGATTCTCTATGAAATAGAGTAATACTTTTTTTATAGATGATGTCCATCAGTAGGTGTAGCTGATAAATACCAATTTACATGGTTATTGTACCAATAGGTATAATTGTTATATTCAAAATTTTGTTTTATGAAATGTTAAATTACCTTTAAAATTGATTATTTCTAGGTTAGGTTGATAGTAAAAAAAATTATTTGAAATTTGAAACAAAAGGAGCACGATTAATTATAACTGATAGGTTCGATAGAATTGTGCTCATCGCTGAGCAATATGGTAAGTTAGAGTGAGTTTGGCCAGGCTTTTACTTTACAATACATTATTTCATATTTAATTTGATGGTTGATAAATTGTTTCTAAGATAATGTTCTAGAATTATCTTAACAAGACTGATTATATATACTTAAAAAGCCGCTGGCCAATGTTTCTTTTCTTGTTTAAAATTATTCAAGTTTGCTGTAGCCTTCATATTGTTGCTAAAAAAATGTTCTTAACTAAGTGTTAAAAAATAAAATATTCTAATATGATCTGATTGACAAATACAATAGCAATCATTATTTACACAAGACAATGGCTTGGAGGAAATCTCAGCCACAGAGGGATATGAGTCAGTGACTTATTACTCAACATTTATTTGTTTTCAATTGATTACTAATATATGAAGTAATATTGCTCCAAATTGATGATGAAATTTTATTTTCTTGATCTCGGCAAAACACATTGTTTTTCGATCATTCTGGAAATCAAATATTTGAAATTCATCAAGTATGCTTTCGTCAAACGTTAATGACTCTTAAACTTTGCGTGACAATACAAACATTATTCGCTAAGTGACGTCAAATGTGGCCGGAAATATTTCTCACGGGATTTCAAGGAATTTTAACGGCGGCCAATAAACCTTGAAGGTTCAAAGAGTAAAGAAGAAGAAGGAAAGAATGTGTCTCAGTTGCCAATCGCGCAAAATAGTATGTGTGTACAATTATACATTATGCATAAAATAGAATACTGGACCTCATAAATAGAAATCTATTACTATGTTATTTTCATTTCAGTTGTTTCCAATTCTTCAAGACTAAATAAAATCTAAAATCAGATTACGTGATTTCAATACCTGCATTTATATTGGACATTATACTTTATTATCAGAGCTATCGGAGCATCAATGATTAGGATTGAACGTTGCACACAGATTATAAAGATCTTTTCTTCTTCTGAAAAATACATCCTAAAGTTCATTAGTGTTCAGTTTCCAAGCTACTATATATTATGTAAAGAGCAAAATCCAAAATTTTTTGTGTAAACAAATAATTCCTTTAATTAACAAAAGATAAAATACTGTTAGAAATTTCAGTTTTTAATTTACCAAACTAATTAAGAAATTTTTTCTTCAATTAGCTTTATTCAACCAACTGATAGTTGTTGAATATTGATAATTAACTGCAATTATTAATATCCTGAGTTCCTTCAATCGTATGATTGAAAAAAATTCAATAATATTTATATATTAGTAATTTATCCAAATTAATTGTAAAAAATTGACAATGATTAGATTCAAGGTAATTTTAATTGTTAACAAGTAAATGAATAAATTTGCATATTATATAAGTTCATGATAATTTTTTACAATGAAAGAAAATACTAATTGACGTAAAGAATTATAGTAACAAATTGATGAATATGTTTTTAAATTTGTTTCCATAGTTATAAATGTTTTCGTGGAAAAATATTTTATATGCAATAATAATCTCAATTGCTTTGCAAAGTTCCTGATGTTGATTTTCAGAAGTTTATATCATAAAATCTAGTTTTCTTGAAAAAAATTACAAAAAATATGAATTTTTCTGCATATTTATATAAATTTGTTACATCAGGTAATTTTATCGTCGAGTCGCTATACTATTGGTATATCTATTTTGTATATTGCTCAAGGATTTGAAAAAGATGATCTCTTTTTAAGTAATCTCTGCACGTACACGTGATGACTGTATTACATAGACTGATAATCATTAGAGTACCACATGCTACAGGTTCACATGGCAGGGATAAAAATTACGACGCAACATTCTTTGCATGGTTGAAAACTTTCCATCCAATACAAAGTATGAACTTTGCTTTGTGAATATTATGATCATGAATATTTCTACAGTTTGAAATTCTCTAATGTCTGGTAAATAAAAAAATTCTGTTAATCGCATAAATGTTAATTTAAACTTGATAATTTATTACAATTGACATTATACCCATTTCATAATGATAATAAACATAGTTTCCACATACTCGCAAATATAGAATAGCTTGAACTGTTCCTATCACGTGGAGCCTATGCTGTTACCCATGTGATTGATAAATTTAAAATCGTAAACAGTTAATTGGGCATTCGGACGTTAGCAGGTCAATTGACTTTGTACGACTGGTTAAGTCATTAACACGAATGAATCAAGCTTTTTCTTCTAAATATGTATTTTCAACGATGCATATCCAAAAGAAGTTGATGAAATAATGTTTAAAGTCCGTGGGTCAATAACGTGTTTGCTTTAAAATTCAGATCTAATAATTTGAATGATCTTTTAACTATGATTATCACACAATTCAAATTTTGAAAACTATTATAAGTAGAATTATTAATGATGATTCATTTTCTTGGAAAAGAACTAATGAGATAATATTAAATATTTATCATCACTTTTTAAACTTGCTGAAAAAGTAATAAGTAAAATTTATATTCTAGTTATCATTGATAGTTATATAAAGAGTTATTTAATTATGATTACATTATAATATTAATAATTGATATTATAAAACTAATGGATATTATAATAGAATGAATAGAATAGATAATACAGCTATTGAAATTGAAAATGTAAATTTAATTACTGAAAATGGAAAAATAAGTGTCAATTGCTGTATAATTTATTCATTAAAAATGTATACTGTTTAACTAATTTTTATTAGTGAAAAAGCTTTTCATAAAACAATTGAATACATTCATTTTCAATATCATTACACAGCGAATACGCGTCGCAATCTTGATCTGTTTGTCTTTTTTCATTTTATTTATTTTTATTATTTGTGTATTAAAAACTGTGTCTTTAAATTATTAAAAACTGTGTTACATTTGTGTATTACATTATACACAGTTCTGAGCGCTTACGCGCGTATACATGTGTGTTCAATATGAAGAATGACAAAATATAGGTGTATTAAAGTATATAATTAATAAATTATAATTTAAATAAGACATAATTCGTTGATAATCTGTAAATCGGACTAAGTTTGTTCATATTTGTTCATTTTTAAAGTTATATAAATCAATACAATTCCTTCTTTAAAAATATTTAAATACTTGTCATACATAGTAAAATAATAATAATTTACTAATTATTTATTATTCATAAATGACGAGATTATCTATAATTTACTATTAATAATAATTAACGAGGAACTTCATACAAGAAGTTATTAAAATCACTTTGAAAAATGACTATAAAGACGTGATAAAACATAATATTGTTGTCTGCATTTGACTTTCTGTATTTTTTATTCTTTCATAATTAATCGTCTTTTTTAAATTTATAATTGACTAAATTGTATAATTAAATTATCAACTAGAGAGAGACCATCATTCACATGTGCACGCACTTTTATCTATATCAAATGCAGATACGTACAACCCTTCGGTGTGTCTAAGAAATTTTCTTTCAATTAATTTTTTTAATTCAATACTCAAGTAATTCATATTTTTTTTTTTATTTATAACATATGAATTAGTTTTTTTTTTATTAGCAACATTGTATTTACAAAAACATTTCATTAATCCCATTATGTGAAAATTTTGTTGCATTTATTTTCATTTTTATTTTTTTTTTATTTTTAATTGAACTACCTAAATTTTTTGAACTACAAAAAATGTTTCAATCAGTCCTCCAGTTTCGATATCACCGCTCATGTCCAAGACTTCGAGCGCCGATTTTTAAATTTTTGTAAGGAAAACTTTTTATATATTTATATATTTCTCGCATTTACGTAGAAGATAATTTTTTTCCTCATTTTACTTTTTTTTCTTAATTAATTCACACATTCTTTCTCTCACTAAATTCTAATGGATGCCATTTCGACAATTATTTACAATCCAATGCTTTTAAAGATGCATCCTAATCTGAGCATGATATCACGTTTCATTTCATTATTATTATTTTTCCTATACTTATTTATCTTAACGATGAAACGAGATGCATTAATACTTTTAGTCCAATTGATTTTCATTCAATTCTAATAATCGATTTTAAGATATAAAATCGTCATTAATCTAATATTATATATGTATATAGCCATATACATATATTGCAAACAATATCATCTTCAAACGTGAAGATTTATTACCGATATAAAGCGAGATTTAAAAAGTTTACTATTGCATTTTATTATTATTTTTACTATGTGCTACTTTGTACAAGTGAAATAAAATTTTCTGATTCATTCATTTTACATTCAATGATAATATACTTAGTATATGCCGAGAGTTTTTAAATTCTGGGCCCAATCTAATGAACAAAAATATTTTAATAAAAAAACAATTGATATTCTACTACGTTTTGTTAAGATATAATATACAAGATATCAATAAAAAACTTGTTTTTCATTTAAAATTCTGACCATCTTGATTATCTTTAGCAGTCGCAAGAGGTCAACAACATACAGAAAAATTGTATCATTAATTGTTCAGACAAAAGTTAATTGAATTGTTAATGAGCTTGCACAGATTTAAGATTATCTTCGAGCATAATTTTCAAGATTTAATTAACATTGCACAAATCTTTTCTGTTATATACAGAATGATATTAATTGATATCGCACAGACAACATGTACACCAGGACATACGAAATCACCAGCTATGATTATTGTTATTTATTATAAAAAGAAAGGAGAGGGAGAACACTCAGTCACTTTATTAAACAATGTACCTTGTGACTATTTTGTCCTCAAAAAATTTTAATATTTTTGAAGAGCACATCAGCAAATATACTTGGAATGTTTTATGGCTGAGTGATGCATTGTGTCCTGAAAAAAGTTCATACACCATCTGGAGTCTTCTACAAATGATTATATATATTTTGGTTTCCCTTTGGTGTTGAAAACTTATATCCAGAACCCTAATGCAGCGGGAATTTATAATTGAATACTTTATTAATTATAGAACACACTTCCTCCATGGTCCCTAACTCTCATTTCTTACTGTTCATAACTTTGAAGACACGTAGAGGCCACTTTTCGTTCAACTTCACCGGTCCAAATCCAAAGATATTACTTACATTCACTTGGACTTTACCATTATTTTTTTTTTTTTTATATGGAATGGACTTTTATCACTCTTCACTTTTATTGTTTAATAATATCTTAATTTAAAACTTTAGATTGTCATTCGCCACCGTTCATTTCATCATAGTGAGAAAATTTCAAGAACACTTGCTCCAATGTTGTTTGACTAAAACTATATTCTTCAATATCCAGCTCCAACTTAGCTGAAAAATGAAATAATCGATGATTAAAAATACCTTCATAGTACAAGTGTGAGTAGATTATTACGCAGGAATTGACAAACAAATAAGAACTAGTATTGACATTTACAATAATAAATTACTACTTTGAACTATGATGAGTATTAGTAGATCTATTTATTTTTAGATAGAGAAATTTAAAAATAGATTTTGAATATAATAATAAACAACCTTTTTCTAACTGCATAAAACATTCAGCAAGAGAATGAACAGCATGCTGAGGCACTGCGAAAACCAGTCTATCAGCAAAGCTCTCCTCAATAGTTGCGTCAGGGAATAGCCCAGCAACAAATTCTTTAAGAGCACTATTCCGATCTCCAGACGGTGCTGTTGGAGTACAATCACCACCGAGAAGTTTCATCTCTAACGTATATCCTGCACCATAAAGATTCTTCAGGTGTTGAGTTGAACCGATGCATCTAAGTTCGCCTTTTACCATAATACCAACTCTTGAACAAAGTGCATCAGCTTCTTCCATTGAATGAGTGGTCAAAATAGCACCCCTACCACCCTATACAAAAGATCTTTTGTTATTACATTGAATAAGATAAACAGAATAATTTAAATAACAGTTACATTGTACATGTTTCATACATTATGCTACCTAGTTTACATAAGTTTGAATTTAGAAAATAAGAATGTAAAGATAAAAAATTTTTTACCTGAAAACTAGCAAGAATAGTGTCCCAAAGGAATCTCTTAGATCTAGGATCCATTCCTGTGCTTGGTTCATCCATTAAAACGACTTTAGGGCCTCCCACCATAGCCATAGCAAAACTAAGCTTCCTTCTAGTACCCCCTGAGCATTCTTGAGTTTGCTTGTCTGCATGTTCGTGGATTTGTAATCCTGATAAATAAAGATCAACAATTCTGTTGATATCACTCCAAGGAACACCGCGAATAGCTGCATAACACTCAAGATGTTCACGAACTGTAATATTTTTCCATAATGCATCATGTTGAGGGCAATAACCCATTTGCCGAAAAGCTTCTGTCGTGTGAGAGTTAATGTTGAGACCACCAATTTGGACTCTTCCTCTTGTTGCTGCTTCTTCAGCAATTATTATCTTCATTGTAGTAGTCTTGCCTGCTCCATTATGGCCTAGAAGTCCGAACACTTCACCTGGTTCAACCGCAAGAGATAAATTTCTAACAGAAACTTTTCTTGGTGGTTTAGGCACCTCATCTTCACGTTTTGAGCAACAACTACAGGAACCTGTCTTTCGTTGTCTGTATTCTTTTCTCAGATTCTGAAGTAAAACTACTGGAGGTTCTTGAACTGAAGATGAATTGACGTAATTAAAGACTCTTTGACGTTCATTTTTCACGTCAGCATCTTCGTGCTCCCCAATGTCAGGATTCTCTAGTATTTCTTCACTAATTGCATCTCTACGAGGGTAGAATTTTTTGAAGAGATCACTGACTTTTCCGCCACTTTTTTTAACGTCTATAATCACAAGTACGAAGAGCCAAAGTGGACAGTGAATCAATACTCCTAGTGCCATAACGAGTATCTCTGTAGTTAAATAGTCAGACATTGTTAAATGGTGACATGCTGCATTTATAGAGCACATAAGATGCACACGATCGACATAATATACTGCTGCATATGGCAAATACATTGTGTTTAACAAAGAAAATACGACATGGAGTGCAAAAGCTGCAGCACCTCCAACGTCTAACATGTCAAGTGTCATTACTAAACAAAATGGAATAAGTCCAACAAATGTTACAATATTGGGCAAGAAACTTTGAGCAGAGTCCATCTTGTCAAAAATGTAACTAAGACAGGTGGAAAATAGAATCGATGGTGGGCAATAGAGCATCAATAAACCACTCAGTGTTATCAATGCTGGAGGCTCTCTTAATGATGGTACATCAAAGGCGAAAATTATTCCAAGTATACAAAGACAAATAATGATCATCAAGACAGTCAAGACAATGAAATACGTCAGGAAATATATGAAGAATGATAATCCATTAACTCGTAGCTGGTTTTTTGTTTTTATCTAAATGGAAAAATCAATACATATAGTCAGTCATTACTGTCATTTTTTATTATACAACACATTGAATGCCACAACAACTTCTGATTATGAGTGATAGGCCTTCCGTTTAGACTAATGAAATGAAAATAATTACTACTATTTGTAAAAATATTACTATGGAAAATAAGTTTTTTTAAATATATTTCACATAATTATCCAGTGATGTATAATTACCATATTAATAAACTATAAATTAAATATTCATTCGAAATAAAATATAATTTGGCATTCAACATGTTTATCAATGAATTCAATAAATTGAATTATTTAAACTTACTTCACGATCGTAAACCATATCAACAACAAGAATAATTGGAACCAGAACGAAATCCATCCCAATAAATAATCCAGAACTCGCGATTCCAATGTTAAATTCTTGCGGTTGAGAAGTTTGCTGGAACGGATGAGTTTTCACTTTGATCGGTGGAGGATTTTCTTTGCCAGATAAAATTCTGGAATTTATCCAATCATTATAAAAATTTATTACCAATTTTGATTATGTTATAAAATATATCATTAATTATTAAAAACTTATATTACCTGTAGTGAGCATTTGATAATATATTCATGAAAATAGGTAAAGAATGTTGCATCGTATCATTGTAAGTTAATGTTAACGTAACCTTCTGTTTTTTAAAGTCTCTTATATTAATAACACCCATATGAGGAGCAATTGATAACAAGTCTGTAAAATTTCCATCATATTCTTCTAATACTTTTACATCACGTTTAATTTCACTTATCAGTGGAGATATGTCATAATCTGATGAATTTGTATAGAGAAATTTCGTATTTTCTTTATAAGTACCTGTAAAAATACGATAAAAATTTTTATAATTAATTAGTTGTGAATATTTTTTTCAAGGGAAATAATTTAGCTAAATTTGAATATAATTAATCATGATAGATGAAGCACTTCATTAATCAATTTTTTATAAAATTATTTAAAATAATTATCTTCTGATTTGCATGCATGAAAAGCTACACCTTTCGCTTCATTTATCGAGGATAGAAAAACTTACAGAAATGCAATAATAAAAATCAGATAAAATAAAAACTTTATAAATAAATTTTCATAATCATTTCTCGCGAAAAAAAATTTCCATCAATTAGTTTAGTATAATTTTTCAGTTTTTAGACCGAAAGATAAATTTAAGTTGAATAATAAAAACTTACTGCTATTGAGTTCTAATGAATCCATTTTTATGCTGACAACCTGAATACTATTCAAATATAATCCAAGAACAACGAACGCAAGTGGTGCGACAATAGTAAAATAAAGTAATTGAAGATTTCTGAAAAGTCTAAGAACACGTAGTCTCAGCATTGCATAAAGAGTTTGAAAAAAGTTAGGCCGTATCTTGATAGGGTCCAAACCAAGGCCGCGAATCGCAGGATTCTTATCATTGTGAACACCGTCAGGTAATTCACTTGAATTTTTAACTTGTCCATCACCTTGGACCGTAGCACCTTCGTTTTGAAGACTTTGGTAAGACGTACTTTTTGATTGTAGGGATAACGATCTACTGAGTGCACGATTTCTCACCATCTTTTTCGAAAGATTGTCCATTGTGCACTCGGTTTCTTCGTCTTTTTCCAAGTGTAAAAATACTTCTTCCAAAGTCGTCATTGACACTCCATAACTACTAATACCTAATCGAGCATTTCGAGTTTTAATTTCTTGTTCAATAGCATAAAACAGAGGTGCAAAATTTTCTACTGAATTATGAGGCAAAATGAAACTCAATTCTCTGCCATGTCGACGAGCTTTTTCTGCTTTGGCAACATGACTCGTTACTAATCGAGTAATTGCATGAACTCTACTGCTGCCTTCAAGTACTAAAGTTAAATGATATCCAATTCCAAATTTATTCTTCAAAAATAAAGAACTTCCACAACAACGTAGTTTGCCTTTACTGATAACTGCCTTACGGTCGGCCAAAATATCAGCTTCATCCATGAAATGAGTTGTAAGTAATATGACTTTTCCATGTCTTCTAGACTGAAGAAAGGACCACATTTGCCGTCTTGAATAAGGATCAACTCCTGCTGTAGGTTCATCTAAGATGATAATCTTTGGATCTCCAATAATAGCAATTCCCACTGATAGTTTCCTTTTTTGGCCACCACTTAGATATTTTGCAAACGTGTCAGCTCTCTCAGTTAAATCAATGTCTTTCAAAGTCTTTTTTACTTCCATCTCAATCATTGATCGCGAAATCCCTCTGACGGCAGCAAAAAATTCTAAATGTTCACGAGGAGTGAGCAAATCAAAAAGAATATCATGCTGAGGACAAACTCCTGTCATACTTCTTATCATTTGCATGTCATTGGAATCTCGTACATCATATCCGAAAATTAAAGCAGTTCCAGCTGTTGGTGTTGTCAATCCAGTTAAAATGTTAAATACAGTTGTTTTACCAGCACCATTGTGACCTAGAATAGCTGTGATTTGTCCCTCATAAATCGTCAAGTTAATTCCATTCACAGCTTTAACCTCTGGCTTTCGACACTTCTGATAAGATTTATATAGATCCACTATTCTGATTGCTTCTCGACCTTTCATTTCCCGTACTACTGGCTCCACATCACGATTTGCTTCTTCTTCAGGAATAAAAGAATTTGATTCTCCGTTTGATGATGGCATCCTTTGAACTTTTTTCTTGCACCAAAATCCCGGCGTAAAACAAAACCATGGAGGTCTTTTGACTCCATACTCACTCGGTATGATGGAGTCAAGATAATAAGCTAACAAGCCGTAAACAAATATATCCAATGTTAGCATTATTAAACTTCCTCCAAATGGTATACCTGGTCCTGCCCACAAATTGTCAAAATTTACTCCTTCTCCTTGAAGATCCAATACTAATGCTTTATCCATTGCTAATGCAGCGCAAGTCGGACTTGATAGAGATACGACCCAGAATGATATGGAACTGGAGTCATCAACAAATACTTGAATAAAGTACATTAAACTTAAAATAGTAATTGCAAAATTACCCAATACTCCAGCAGTGCGTGATTTATCAAAGAAAGGAGTAATCATGAAAGCAAACATAATAACGGAAAAACTATAAAGGACGACAAGCAGGAAAATGGGTAAAAAGTGAGTATGTTGGAACATTTGTAGTGTAAATAATAGAATCACAGCAACTGCGGAGAGTAATAATACAAATACACCATAAATAATAAACCAAGACATCCAAAAAACTGAATCTTTCAGCCCCATTATCTTCATTCCTTCTTTGATTTTATTCTCTTTTTCTCCGACAATGAGTATCAAGAGAGACGTAACAAACTGCGAGAGAGCAATAATCATATAAAGTGGTATCACGACTCTGAACGCAAGCATCCAATTGGCTGTATAAGCTTCTTTGGGAAACATTTGTAGTTTGACATCTGGAATTGTGACTTGATTGTTACCACTATCTAGTCGAATTTTTGTCGTATCCATAATCATTTGAAGAGCCATAAAACCAGAGTAAAAATAATTGTTCACAGGACAAGATCCTCCTGTTTCTATCGACAAAACTCCTCCCATCCAATGACTAGTGTCCTTTCTACATGTCACAGGAGAAGAATAAAATTCTTTTGGAGATGGTGGTGCTGAGTATGACGGGTTTGTTCGTATTTCGTACCTAAAAAGTGAAAAAAAAAGCCTTGTAAATATTGACAGTTTATTTACTATCACAATAAAAGCATCGATATCCTGTAGATTTAATAAGTTTATAACAAATGGGTCTATCATGTCCTTGGAGTAAAGGGTTATATACTTACAAGAGATTTTGAGTTATGGGATGAGGATTCTCGAAGATAACAGCTAGAGGTACGCTGCGTGGATCACGCCAATAGGCAGCTTGGAGATCAGCTGTCGTTTCGAAGACCATGAAGTTTAAAGGCAGCTTACCAGGATCTTCCCACATCGATAACCAAAGAGTATTCATGGCGCTTAGGAAACTCTACAGAACAATGAAGACTTTTTTTAATTATCGGTCAAACTTATAACTCTCTGGTTTAATACATGAAGAAACTTTAAAGATATTGTCATTTTATAGAATTTAGTAAAGAAAAAAGACGACATTTGATATCAACTTTCAAAGAAGCTGATTATGAGAACTATACAACTATATAGATCGAACATTGAACATTGGTTGTTCAAGAATAAGGGTAAGAGTGTAAGACTTGGAGGAGAAAAAAGTGGTAGCTATGTAGAAGAGGCACAACTTTCTGTTCGTTGAAGGGTGATTGCAAAGCTTTCTGTAGAAATCCCCAGAGTCTTCTCTTTTGCAAGACAACACTTGAGTTATGGCCTCACCACATCTACCTTGAGAATATTCTGCATCCGTGATATTTTCGATATTGCTTACAGACTAGAAAAATTTTTGATATCAACTCTTGATGATAAATTATCTCTCTACTCTTCCCTGAATATATTTTAGAAATATACGAAAATATCAAAATGTTTTTTGTAATAATTTATGTAGATTAAATTTTTGTTCTCTATATTTATGAAAGTTACAGAGAATTTTTTTGCAGTTTTTTTTGTTAATTTCCCTTTATTGTTCACTCCTTGCTTTTAATATTTTCCACGTTTTCATAATTTATTAAACTGTTTTTAATCTCTGTTACGTTAATTCCATTAAAAAAATTTAATTCTCCAACTAATTTTGTTTCAGGTTATTAAGTTTATAAATATTTATGATTTTTCTCTTGAATACTGAAATAAAAATTTATGATCAAATATAGAATATTATCTTGAATTTTATAACCATGATAAATTTTTTAAAATAACTATTAAATTTAATTAAAATGAAATTGTAAATTAAAAGAATTCATCATATGAAAGTTTTAGTCAGTGAAGTTAATAATAAAAACGTCTATTATTAAAAGAAAATCTCTTTATTGAATTAATGATATTAGTAATTTCTGCTCTATTGATTGAAAAACTTACAATAGTTTCAGTGGAGTTTGGAACAACAGCAATCGTATTATTTTTGTAGCCATTGAAGAACTCGAAAATGTCTCCATCTTGCTGTTGAGTTGTCATGGCAGGATAGTTTGGGTTCGGAATCAAGATCTTTAGAACGATGAGGGTTCCCAAGATGTAGAGAGGTAAAAGTATCTCCTGTAAAACATTCAAATAATTAAACATAAATTACATTATAGTTTCCATTAGAAAGATTGGAGAGAAATTGGAGATAGAGTGAAGGTTTCATGCTAGGGCTCGTTGCTATGAAAATAAACAATGTATATAGAACGACCATCCTGAATGTAATAAACAAGTTTAGCGATAGTTTGCATCAACAAACAGGAAAGGTATATGACAAGAGGATATTATGTCCTTTTTTGTTGATGTAGTGCCAGAGGACTCGTTTTACGAAAACCTAACACTTGGAGTTGTTAAATTGCTAGAAAATAGTCCGTGTGTAAAAAATGTCAAAGTGGAGAAAAGAAGTCCTTGTGAGAGAAGTTCAATATCCAGCTGGGAACAAAGACATTGCTGTTTGCTTCCTGAAGATGTGAAAAATTTTTATACTTCTATTGATGGTTTTTCTCTTACTTGGAGTCTTGACATAGCAGGTAAAAGGCTTCAATTGAATTTTCCTCTGAATCAAGATGCACAATTTAGTTTTCATCTTTAGGTGAAGAATTTCCTGTTGGTAAAATGATGATCAATGAATTCGCAGCGCTGAAGAAATTTGTAGGAAATAAAGATCAGCAGGCAGAAGCAGAATCAAAGTCTCATGATGATATTAATGTTCCTTCATTAGGTGCGCGTTGTAAGCTCTTTGAAATTGATCAATGTGGTACATCTAAAGTTCTGTTGGTTTACAATATCAGACCGGATTTAGATTCTGAACCCAGTATTTGGCTTTTTCACGAAGATAATGTAGGGAAATGGTATCATTTATCAGACAGCTTCACTAAATACTTTAGGATGATGTTAGTCCATCTGGGTTTACCGCTTTGGCAGCATTGTGCAGTTGGACTTGATCTGCCTACTTGGGTTGAACAAACCTATTACTTAGTCGGCCCTCATTTACTTCCCACTGCTGTCAAATCCCCTGAAACTGTCTCTACCACTCTGTGGAAGGATGTACCTTATAACACCATTGATTCAATTATTTTTAAAAGCCGTGATAGTAAACAGAGAAATTCACGAAAGAAATAAATGTAGAATCAACTATGTATGACTTTAGAAAGTATTTTATCAAGTTTAATAAAATGTTTTTATTTTTCAATCTAAGACTTATATTTTGAGTATAACTCCATATTCTACAGTAAAAAAATATACAAAAAATGTATGCAATTTTTTCTTCGAGATTAAATAAAATAGAATTCAAAGGAGAAGGATAAGCCATTTCTTTTTAATCTCTTTCCTGTGACCATTTTATCCAGAGATAATTTTTGTCCAGGTTCAATTTTATGAAAAGTTTTTAGAATATTTGAACTTTTCTATGATACTTTACATACTTTATTTTATCTATTTTTTATTTTATATTAATTTTTAAGAAAATGTGAAAAAGCTTAAAAGTGAAATAATTCCAACTTTTTGGTGCTTCTTGGTTTAATGAAATCCGATTATTATTTGTAACAATGCTTCATTCAAATCCATTTAGAAATAATCTGAAATTCCATGTTTTTATAATCTTTTCTTATTTTTTCAATTATTCCTTTTTTCCCCAGTAATTGATAACCCTTGCTGATAGAATATCGATGGGAATATTTTTTATGATCACATTTCTAGAAATGAGTTATTACAGTAAAGTATAGTTATCATACTGAACTTTTTTTCATTTATTTTTACAAAGTTTAGTATGGACTGATTGATGAAGAATTTAATTAACTAACGGAAACATTGAATTAACGAACATTCTATTATTTGACAGTTTCTATCATAAAGAATCTTGATAAAATATTCAAATATCATTTATCTCATTCATATTGATTAAATTAATACCTTTGTATAAATACTTCAGTGCAAACATGTTAAATTTTCTGTCATAAAGCTTTTCAGTTTAATATAAGTCTTATAAAAGCGCTTATAATTTTAAGTTTTTAATATCTAACTTCCATAACAAATGCTTTTATCGACATTTATAACAACAAAAGCATTCAATCAGTAAATATAATAATGTAATTACATTAATTGCTTTTTTTCTATCTCTATTGAAAAATCTTAAGCTTAAGATTATCATAAAATATCATTCTCATCCTATTATCATAATTGTTCCTTAAAATAAAGGTATGGATTATGATAGTTAAATGAATAATTACTAAATCGATTAACAAGAAGAAAATACTATTCATAGAAAAACAACTTTCTTGGGTAAGCTAACATGTTCTCAAAGTTTATGAAGCATAGTTTTATATTACAGAAGCATTACAAAAATGTAATATAAGATAATTGAAATTTCACATTATAGTTTTTGTAATATGATAAAAAATATCATAAATGTGTGTATGAATATAACGTGAATAATGTTTTAAAAATGAAAATAATATTTTTTTATAAACTATTATTCATGACTGCATTAAGTTATATTGTAATTTATCATTTATCATACAAAGATATTAAAAGTTTATGTATAATCATACATTTACTTGAACTGTCAACAAATTTGATAAATGAATAATATACATGAGTTATACCAACTAGAATTTTTTCATGTTTTTTTACTTTAAATTTCAATATTCAGTTTTTATTCATCCATGTTAAATTGATTAAAATTCATTAGAAAGTTTATTGTTCTTCACTTGTCCTATCAGTTGAAAAACAATTCAATTAAATACATATAAACTTGGGTTCATAAAAGTAATTCTATTCTCACTTCAAATGAACTATGTAGCAGTTTTTCACATTCTTATTTCAAGTATCAAGACAAATGCTTCTGGATGTTGTCTGGATTTCACGAAATGAAACTTGGATTTTTAAAAAAGAAAAGTTGAAAATTATCAGCAGTATGTGATGATTGATTCAGAGTAATTTTCTACAAATTGAAAGTAATGGAAAAGAAATATTAATTGATAAACTTTATTTTATTAAACTTTGCTTGAGTTTTGACCCTTGGCCTAATTGGCAACAAAGACGAAGGGGATGTCAAATAAATTGGCATCGCACAGTTCCGCTTGGCAGAGTATTCTGGCCACTTTCACAGTTTTGGATTCTCGTTAGTTCCTCTGTTACGTACAGTAAATGTAATATCCAAGAATTCATAGAAAGTTGTAGCTTCAAAGACATGAGTAACAAAGTATATTCAATTGTATCGAATTATTATTCATATCAAGAATAGCATAAAGAGAATCCTCTCTTGATAATTAATTTAACAACTTTATAGAAGCACAATGATATTTTTTCCTATGTGTTGTACCACTTGAATTTTCTTATCACGTATGTAGAAATATAATTGACACATTCAATATGCAAATTTAAATATTTACATGCATGTTATACAGATCTTCTTTTGGTAACTTCTTTATTATTTCAAATTACGTAAATTCTTGTAGGTGGTGACGTATAATTTTATTGATTATTACAAGTACTCGTGGAATTTAATTAATTCAAAGTTATTCCTCTCACACTTGATAGTTTTTTTAAAACATTTATTTGATGAGCGATTAATTATGATGAGTAGAGAAGTAAAAAATGAGCAAAAAATAGATAAAAAGAACAGGATTATATTAAATAAAGTGTATTGAGTTGCAAATAATATTAAAATTAAAAATTTACTTACAACTATTGTCTTTCTTTTCTCGCGTTTCTTGAGCAGTAAATTCCTCACGAGCATTGCTCGCAATTGAGAAAGGTACACGCCACAAGACCCCATCTTTATATCCTTTTCTGATATCAGTAACTGTAAAATATAAAAAATAAAATATTAGAATATTTTTTTATAGTTTTAAATTAAATTGATTTTTTTAATTATTTTATAAATGAATTAACTGTTTATGATTATTTGTAAATATCTAATAATAACAGCAACATTAGTGAAATAAAACAAAAATATCATGAGTAATTTTGGAGTATGATATATACAGAAATAAAATCATTTTTGACTCTACATGCCAAAGATAAATTCGGTCACTTTAAATTTAATATAAAAGCCACATCATATGTAAAAGTCATTTGTATAAATGTCTTTATACCTAACATATATCCTCATATAATCGTGTATATTTCCCAGATTATAAATCGAATAGCAGCAATAATAACACGAGCGTACATATGAGAAAGCATACACTTGTTAATTTGTCGTTGACTTTACGTTTATATAAAACGATGTCGGTTATGATTTATTAATAAATTATTGGTGTGTCTATAAAATCATAAGATTCATTCGATATTTCTATTCTTCGCATACCTTTATTACTATCAACCATGGACATATACCTTTATCGAGTTAATTTGATTTACAATTTAAAACAGGATAAAAAATTGAGAACGAGTTGCAAAGAAATAGGATGAGAACGTAATCACCTCGTGGGAGAAATTGAATTTGGTCATTATTGAGTTATCGACAATGAGAATAAAGTTGTTAGTGCAGTATATACTATTAGCTTTTTTTTTTATTTTATAATTTAGTCGTTTTAGATCCTCGTGCAATTCTTTTTAATCAATGAGAAAATTTCGTTATTCTTTTATCTTATCTTAGCACAATTAAAGTATCTTTGTTTTACAAAGTCTAGATCTATTTTTGCTGATTCTTACTTCAAACTGATACAATAAAAATACATCTCGAATTTCGTGTGTTATATAACAATCATAGTTTTGTAATATCCATTGTTTGCATAACTAGATTTTCATGAATAGAATGAGTTTTTAAATGCAAATATAAATGATAAAAAAGTGTAAATAATAAAGAAACTTTTTTCATATACATTTGTTATAAATTAAATATTTTATTTTGTTATAAATTTTTGATTAAAGGTTTATAAATCGATAATCTGTAACGATTTGACCCTCATTGTGACACGTCAGGCTCTTGAAAACTACACTACAATCAATGTCGTTCACACGCTCTTAGTATATTTGAATGTTCTTTCTCTTGAAAGATTCATTTAGTTACTAGACAAATAAAGCTCTGAGCAAACAATACGCATAAAGTAATGTCAAATATAACATAAAAATCAATTCCTTTTCATCCATTTACTCAAATAAATATTTTTTTTTTCATCCTCGACTTATATTTAATCCATCGAAATTTTATGCCACAGTTGCAGGGTTTTATTGAAGAATGCTCTTACGTTTGGAGCAATTAGTAAATGTTTGTTAAGCATTCATAATTAAGCTGTCAAATCGATTGTATTTAGAATGTTCATGATGACCTATATAATTTTCTTACTTCTAAAATCTAGTTGAAATAATAATATTCAAGTCATTGCTGATACATTTTTTTTTAATAAGTTGTTGGCTTATTTACTCTACTGTCGTGACCAGAAATATTAGTTATTAAGTTTAGATATAATATAGCAAGGGTAGTAGGAATTGTAATATTATTATTACTATTATTTTTCATACATCTTATTTAACTAAAGCACCGAATTATGAAAAAAGAATGATGAATTACATGAACATAATGTTCTTATTATATGAGTTTTACGCTTGAGAACAGAAAAATTATAGAATGAATCATTCACATATTTTTTCTTATCGTTCATTTTGATCGAAATCCGTTAATAGCTAAAGTTTTTCTTTTTTCACTTGTATCATTAATTCAATTAGGACTGAAAAATAACCTTGTCAACAACACTAAATATAAGAATGTACATAATTATTTTTAAGATTAATGTTAATTAATTTTTTTTTTATTCCTCCATTTATATCAAAGGTTTTAAACATCAATTTGAAATCCTTTAATAATTAAAAAAAGTAGTTTAATTGAATAAGTTAATATAAAGACACTGAGACTTGAGTTGAAAGTAAATGATAACAATAGATATTTTTTAATTCGTTTTGTGCATACAATTGCAAGAACATCGGGATACTTAGAGGGTTCTCAACCGCATGAAAGACAGGTTACACTTGGCTCGTGTGCCAGTCGAGTATCGACCGTAGAGGGGTGCCAACCCTCTTTCCGCCCCCGTTTTCGCGCGCGTCCAATGTTGCCTCTTTCACCCTCTTCCCGGCTTTTACCCCGATAACTCGGCGGCCGTTTTGCCGTTTGTCCATGCTGTGCAAGTTTGGTCTTTCACATCAAACTATTGTACCTGAATAGTTTAGTTTATACTCTTATATTTTTCGATCACATCTTAGTCACGTTCTCCTGCCTCATGACCTCCAGTTTGCTTTGCACGTGATCTGCTTGCTCTTTTTTTTATTTTCCAAGTTAATTTTCTGATCATCACAATAGATTACTCCGGATTAAGGGTATTATAAATTGTCACTTTAATATTTTAAATAATATAGATGTTAAAAAAAATATTTCCAAGCTTACAATCCCTTGTCAAATAAATCGATTTTCATGTCATATTGAGAAATAACGAAAATCCATCTTTCCACCACTCAGATTTGATTAAATATTGAGGTTTATTAATCAGAGAGGAAACGATAACTGTCACTTGACGCCAAGCTGTCTAGCAGACGCAATGCTTTCACTACTGTTCACTGTGAAAGCTCATGAAGAATTTCCTACGTCACACAATATGATTTTAAGCCATGGAAAGAGAATCTACGTAACTTGTTACTGACCTTTCAACCTTTCGAGAGATTCTAGAAAATAAATTACAATCTTGTAAGCGTCTAGAATGGCCGATTGTGGACATAAAAGATAATAAAGATAATGGTTTTAGTTAGTGAAAATGCTGTTGATGTGATTAGACATATTTCTGCTAACACTTTGTATAGCAACATCGTTGTAAATGTTATGTCGCTACGAGTTAATGTCACGTGAGATATCAAACGATATTATGAAGCCTGATATCATGACCAGCAACCGTTCAAGTTTCAGCTACATTGATTAAATGTTTTCCTTTGTTTTTAATTAAACACGAATTATTTTGGAGATGATACATTATTTGGAACTGACTTTCTAGAAGATGTAAGCTGGATTTTATTTTATCTGTTGGGTGATCAGATCATTTATAGAGCTTTAGATTGATTTTAGTCTACACAACTGATTGGTAAAAAAAAGATTAAATCGGTATTGCAGCCAATTCTTTTCCAGCGCATTCTTGGTGGCTTCCGAAATCGATTTCGACGGCCTGCAGGCGGCGGCCGGGTGCAACAGAACGGGGGAATTCACCGCGGTAACGCAACCGACCGACCGACCGACTGAGCAGATATTTCCGCAGGTGATATGAACCTGATCACAGAATGTAGGAAGAAAATCTTCGAGCAATGAACTTTATAAGCTTCATTCACTTGACAGACACCAAATTATTTAGGTACGTATTGCTGATACATGAGATTGATATACACTACTTATCTGAACCACATAGTTCCACTATTAATGGTAATCTTAGTAACTAATTCTTCATTGATCTTTGGAATGTGAATAGTTGAAAACTTACATTTTCATAGACATTCCAGATAGATGATCAACTTGAAATAATAACCAACACTTGTTCACGAGCTAAGAGTCTTTTCAATAGTTTCCTGAGTATCCATTTTCATTCAAGTGAACAACCTGAGGGTAAGAATTGGGCTATTCACGTGCTACAATCTGCCACCCGGTACGGCACTGGTCGGACAATTGCAGGAAACGGCGCCATGTCCCGTATCGTCGTTTCAATTGTACTGAGATTTACTTCCGGCGCGCCTTCACTTAAACTCTGATGGGACCAGGTCAAGAAGATTAAGTGTATTTACATCAACATGATACGAAATGGTGTACTGCAGAACTTGGAGAAATATTCTACACCCAATCACTAAAAGGTATCACTTCCTGCTCTTGATAGATCAATTCACCTTCAAAGCTCTTGGAGATCTTGAGAAGTACGACGACCAGCGGTAAGTAAAAACAGGTGTCAAGTTAAAGTCAGAGTGATAACTGATGAGAATAACGACGAGGGTCGAGGACGAGGTCACCCCCGTTAGTTTTTCGCGGCTCGTTCCGCTTACGTCGACCAGCGACGCCAGACTGTGAACTACTAGCAAGTGAGGGTTTCCGTTGTCGCGTCTGCGTCGTCGTCCTACCGTGGAGAATGACGGAGAGGGAATCTATACGAGTGATGAAGAAGAGAATATACACCCTGCTCTAGTCACCGATTTATATATAGAATTTACCTACGACATGTACCTACGTAGGTAGCGACATTATACGGATGAGACGCTGATGAGAAAGCTATGAAGGAAAGGAAGAAAGTACAAGAACGAAATTATCACAGAAACTTACTATAAGACGTCATTAAATTCAAGGATTATCAAATATAAGTGTGTTGTTGACGGAGTTTCCTTTTAATTATTGACAAGTAGTATAATTTTATAATCTCTTTTTGAATAAATTAAGCTCATTCACTAAACCATTCTTGACTATTAATATCCAATTTTTTACCCTAAATGAGACAGGAAGTGAATAATTGATATAAATAAATACCAGAAGCTTCTATTTATATGCTTTTCACTGTTGAAGAAGGTCGATCCATTATGATAAAAGAACAATATACCTTGAACTTTCATCAGTTTTTGAAGTCATTAGTTGTTCGGGAGAAACTTGTTTCTTCCAAAATGATGGGATTTCATCTCATACACAATTGCCACCGATTTTCCTGCAACTTGAAGATAAGATGATCTTCCTCACACCTCATTTAACTTATTCGTTGAACACAAAATTTGAGTTGTTTTCAACTAGAAATTTCATTCCTTGGATCGCTGGTAATTATTTTCTGAAAAAATATTGAAATTTTTAAAATACTGCACAAAAATTTTTATGTTAAGACAAAGTAATTGCATTTGTGATATATGATATTCATTACTTGGTACTAATTTTCATCACGTGTGTCACGTCAAGTGTAACAGCTTACATGTCTGCATTAAGCGACATTGTAAGTTCGTTTCTCTATGCTTCCATGACTTTTAACGAGTTTCAATCTGTTTATGTCGCAAAATTATGCAGACTTACAGATCTCAGCAGCTTCAAGTCTCTCCACATCACTGCAAATATAAAATTTTTATGTGTATTGAGAAAATAGTTGGCCTTTTTAAAGCTAAAAAATTCTTTCATGATCATAAAAAAATATTATTGAATTAAATAAACTTTTCGAGTTGTATTTTATTAAGAAAAATATTATGTTTAAAGTTTTGTATGCTTCTGGCATCAATATAAATCAATAAAATCCTACCAGTACAGGCACCACACCAATTTATACTCAGAGAAAAATTCTGTTTCTCATTCAAAGATAATTCTGTTAACTCATGACTATGTTCAGTATTTTAGAATTTTTTTATGAGTTCATGAAGGATGATGATTTTTCAGAGATATGGTACATTTTTATTTACATCAGCATACCTTTCATATGAAAATGCCAGTTATCAAGAATAAAAACGAGTGGGAGATAAAAAGTTGATGTATCACAATTTTATTATAATGCATGGTTTATTGTTACAGGTATATGCCCAATATGTATATAGATAAAAGCACGTGGCAAGCAGACTGACAATGAATGACGTCATTTATAAAGATCAGACAACGATAGTAGGGAAGTTCCGTGACGTACTGGGGATGAAATAAAAACATCAGAGGGTTGACATTTAATTGATCGTCAAAATCAAGCTTATTTAGATGATATATTCTTGATATTTATTTTTTTACAAATGACACATAATTGTTCACTATTCAAACAACTAAATGTTTGATATGATCATCTCAATAAATAATCTTCCCATTGCCTCAAAATTGTCGCAAATGTGTGAGATTGTCGTGCTTCTAAAATTAACGAGCAGACTGAAATAATCTAGGGAAATTGCAAAGTATGTTTAAACGTGTTTCAAGAACATAGTTAATGACTCTTGCGTTGTAATTTTAGCGATAATACTTCAGTGCTTTTCTTTTAAGTTAGTTTGCGAAGAAAGAACTACTAAGTATCATCAAGATTGTAGTATGATATTCTAAATTCATTGAGTATTTACTTTCTCACTAAATAAAAAGACACTTAATAGATATATTTCTGATAAAATAATTGTCATTCATCTATTGTAAGTAAATGGAAATGAAAAGTTAGAACATCGTTAAATCTCTTGAGAGTTTCACACTATATAAAAAAAAAAAATACTGTAATGGAAAGTAATGCCCAGATTGCTACTATACCACTCTTGAGAATTCTAGTGATATTATTAGAAAAAAGTGCAACGAAGCATTTGAGGTTGCAAAGCAATAACACATTTTTATTCATGGGAGAAATGAAAGATTTTGTTATGCTAATTCCTATTCAATTTTTGTGAATGGAAATCAGAATTAATCATAATAATTGAGTTTAAAAAAGCATAAAAATAAAAATTTTAAAGTTATATTACTGGTTAGTTTGCAATTTTTTTTACAAATTTAAAAAACTGAATTTTAATATTAATAAAAAAGTCTGTTTAACATTTTATTTTTTCTTTCTTCCGTCATAAAAATGAGATAAACCTTGAGTAGATGCTTCATAAGAATTGACAATGAAATTATTTAAAAAATAATGTAAATATTATGACTACTTGAAGGAAGTTTAAAGTTTATGGTATACAATTTATAAGAGTAAATAATGAAATGTCGAAAACAAGGTCTCTAGAAGAGAAGACTCACCTCTCAACCTTGACATATCCATAAAAAAAACAAAAATTTCTATCGATAGATAATGAATTGGGTTAGATAACCAATGCCAAGTAGTATGCAGAGAATTTGATAGTCATCAAAAGCTCCCAACAGGGTGTGTCTATAACCCAGAGGCCAAATGGGCAAGCATCCACACCCAGAAAGGTCCTAGAAAAAGATAAAATTTTATGAGTGATAGTAACCCAAATGTACATTTTGCATGAATAGAAATGATAAAAGTGACCCTCCTGATAATATCAGGTCAACGTTTAGTCAAGTTAATAGCTATTATTGAAAAAAAATATAGTTTTTTTTTATTGATTTAATATTTTTTTACCATGACTAAAAGAAAATTGAATTGAATAGTGAAGTAAAAATAATGAAAATATATGAAAAGGGAGAAGTGAGCTGAACATCAATGGGCTGAGCATTATCGAGCGTCATTTAGCATGCCGAAAGCTTCCCGGCTGTCAGTTCTGTATCAATAGAAACTAAAACTCGATAGTTCAATGTACATTGGAATGCACATACCCACCAGAGACTGAATAATTTCAATGTAGCAAAAGAATGAAGTACAATGTCCCATGCTCAATTTTTTTTTTATTTCCCCTCTTGCTTTACGTTAATTAATCACATTCACTCTCGTCTTCCCTCGATTTAAAGTAATCTCATGTGCAAGAGAATATCCCTCTAGAGGCGTACTATATATCAAGTTCAGATTGGAAATGATGAATTGATCAGAAATTATGATGCATAATGTAAATTATTCTAATTAAAATTAATTCTATATTTTTCAACCTCTTGCTTGTTATTAACATTGTTATATATGATGATAAATGAAGAAAAAATTTCCAAGTTTATTGAATGTAGAGAAGTTTGATAAATAAAAAATGTAACTAATGTTTTTGGAGTAGGGTGGAGCTTTTAAAATGGAGCTACTGGAAACTTATGATGGAAATCAAGATGCCAGTTTGATGTGACGTTCAACGAATGACCAAACTACTCCAATCCTACCGCAGACCTCCAACAGCTTGCTATGACGCAGTATCAGAGGTTCTCAATGTGTCAAGTGAATTAATATTGATAAGTACTGTTATTGGAGTATTTGAGCAAGACTGACTGATAAATTTATCAAAAATTTCAATTATGCAATAAAATTAAAATTAAATATTTTATCAGGGTCACTCAGACTCATGAGATTTTTTTTCGGTCCATCATCTCAACCCTTCGATAGCTCAGTTGGTAGAGCGGTGGACTGTAGTTGGCTTGAATAATTGGAGACATCCATAGGTCGCTGGTTCAACTCCGGCTCGAAGGAATCTTTTGCTTTGGAAAATCATTTTTATAACAACAAAAAAGATGACTGTTTTTTTTTTTTAATAATTTATATGCGTGTGGCGCCGAAAGGGGATTTCAATTGGCATGTGACTAATGTTTTGGTTTATTTAATATTAAACCGTTAGTTCCATATGTGGAAGAGCATGTGGGAACCACGTGCGTGTTGCGGTAGGAACTAATGTCTAGTCTCGAGTAAATTAAAGCTGTTGCTAGCTGCATTATCGACTTACTTTTTCCTTCTCCACCCCTATAGAACGACATATTTAAACATGTATATCTGCTTTATATATAGATGTGAAGTCCATGTAACTGTAGGATAAAATACTGGTATAATTTACCCTCCATATACATTAACACAATATCTTAGTCTGTGCACGCAATGCAAAAACCTGTCTATATGCGTGAAGATTTCATGAGGGGATGTACCAATTATACTTCAAGAAGTTGATAGTCTGGACAGGGGACTGAATTGCACGAATAAAAATATATTGGAGGGTTGAATTTTCCAAGAATTTGCCATTTTTTATTCAAATACTTGATAAACCACCTATCTGATCAATATATCTTACTTTCCAATGCACAATAAATTGACTATAAAGCACTAGATATTTTTTAAACTTATATTTAAGCTGCATGTAACACTTTCTTCATGTGTAGATTGTTTATCATATTTTTCAATTAAATAAAAGCTTGGATCCATCAATCAAGAAAAATATTAAATCTTGTATGACAAGAACTACCTTCAATCTTGATCATGAAATGGGTTTCTTGTGATAAAAAAATAATTTATCATGTTTATAATAAAAGGGTGTGATAGGATTGAAGAAATGATTAAGACATGATTGAAAAAAAAGGAATTTCGACCGTGACAGGACTCGAACCTGCAATCTTCGGATCCGAAGTCCGACGCCTTATCCATTAGGCCACACGGTCATATGATAACAAAAATCGCAACGTTAGTTTTAAATCTGCGTGACAATTGAAAGAAGTATGTCTAGAATTTAAACACAATATTTACTAAAATGTACTCCAATTCATTTCTTGATTAAATTCAAATTATATTTTAACTGTCGACAAACATCAGTTACTAATAATTGATTTTTAAAGTTTCTACGATAAGGAAGGAGTCGTCATTACCAATTTATTTTCTATGATAAATAATTACATAAAAAAATTCAACATTAAAATAAATAACCACGAGTGTTTGGTAAATAAATAATAAATGTTAAAACCTTGAAATTTATAAATATATGATGAAAACTAGTTAATGTCAAAGTTTCATTAAATTATAAATTAATGCATCACGCAACTAATGTCAATAATTAACTACTAGGATTGTAGAGGTAATTCTGATACAAAACTGGTAAATTGGACATCAATAATCATTAATCTCTTACCTTATTATTTTGACTAATAATCAGCGAACAAACTTTGCCAATAACTGCATATTCGAGTAATTTAGCACATTGACAATGACCATGGCATGCTACTATTTCCTTTGTAAACAAACTCAGTCGAACTGTGGAAATTACCAATCCTTGATATATCAACTGAACCAACCCTCTGCTAGATGCCAGCACCAAACAGCTGTATTACAGGAATCGATGAAACACCCATTGAAATATTTTCTGAAATAAAAATACTCGTAATTACATCGATTCCCCTGACGCTATATTAAATACCTCGTTTGAATTACAAATTAATTCAAACCTAGAAGTACAATTGAAATGAATAAATTATCACCAGTCAATTATTGATTTTACTGATGAGTTGTTTATCTCATTTCAATAGATTAATCTAATAATTATAATCATTATTACCAATAATTGCGGAATAAATTTGATCAGAAAGACGTTGAAAGTAAAGATAATCGATAGTTCTAGTTTTCCGCAACTTATGGCTTTTACCAAGATCTTAACTCTCATTTAATCGACAAAGGGTGAATGTATCCCTTGACAACAACCTTTGGTATAGTAGCGTAATAGTGTCGTTTGAATCCCGGCTTTCCTTGTATATATATATATATATATATACATGTTACACCATGTGTTTACAGTAGAAAGGGTCACAATTCGATCGCCATTCGGTCATTAGGGGATAATTAAACTTCCGGCTACCAATTCTCCTGTGTTCCCCTGCTTGGGTGAGACCTGTCTGACTAATGCGAGTTGGGTAATTTGAAAAAGATCTCACTTTTCAGTTCAACTATCCATATACAAAATTGACTGTCTATCTGTAAATAAAAATACAAAAACATCCATTAAATGGTCTATTATTAAATAAATTCATATTTTTATTACCTTTTATTGAAGTTAAAGCTGAATAAATTCAACATTTGGAATTCTGCAGCAAATGAGAAGATAGTATGGCTCGTAAAATTTGTAAAATACCCTTAGAACTTTACTTGCAGTAATTGGCCAGCTGTGACTCTCCCTGGTATATCTCAATAATTGCTTCATTGTACATAAAGTCAAGATCATCTGTCTATTCAATAAATTGGCTTTTTTTTGCTGGTTGAAACTGGTACTTGATTGGTTGAAATTAACTGGATTATTGTTTTCGTAAGTGGAATAGTTTTATTAATTCACTTTCCACAAATCGACATCACAGTTTAGTAGCTGTGTCACGCCTACTCAAGGTATATAATCGTGACTCACATGGATATATTTACTCAGGCGTCTGGTAAAAAAAAAAAACGATTGACTAAAGACTCACAGCAAGAGAGCATACGCATCTGTCGACAATCCGCACGTGATAGAATCTTTAAGACGTCTCTGGAATAAATTTTATTTGTCTTTATTATTTGATTGAATATTGTGAAATCATATTTTCTACATGTTTTCATCAGAAAATTGAATGTATGGATAAAGGGAGAAGTCAATTGAACGATTTGTAGTATCAACGGACATCTGCTCGCTCAATTGGTATTTTGCACTCCAAAATCATTTTGGAGCAAATCAATTAATTGGATTGCTATTTTTCAAAAATTTTTGTTCTACACTGACTAGTCAATGATGACAAATGTTTTAATGGAATATTTTATTGAATGGTATTTTCTTTATTTCAGATTTTGATTAAATAAACATTTACGAATTTTTGATGAATTTGATGGTGAAATAATAATTTGATAGTGTAAATAGTTGTTTCTACAGGTAGAATTACAGGTAAATGATGTCAATGACCTATGGTAGTGATAAAAAAATTATAAACCTCTTGATATCATCAAAGAATATTATTTTAGATCAAGAAAAGTAATATTTCAATAACTGAGTTGTTTGACTTAGAAATTCAAAAGCAAATAAATTTTTTTCAGCTATCTACTAACCAAACTCTTTTTCAAACTTAAAAAAATTAATCAAAACAATTATTTACTTTATTAAAATAAATATCCCTAGAAAAGATGATCTTTATTAAAATAAAAAAGCTTCATCAAAGAAATCAATACCATCATAAAATGCAAAAAAAAATTTTCCTGATAGTTATGTGATCGAGCAATTGACTCATCATTCACCTAGTTTGCTCTTTAATCTATACATTAGATACGACATGTAAATAAAATCAATCTAATCTCTGGTGAAGGCTGTAATTTCCCAGATAAACGTACAATCTCCATTTGCGTGTCGAATCTCCAGCATCCCCGTAAAAAAATCTCACTCCCCACTCACATGAATAACATTCGCCCCCGCGCGTTGCCGAGGAACAGACACGAGGGAGCAGACGCCGGTTTCCCTTTTGCTTCAGTCAGTAAAGCGCGCCGCGTTGGACTGTCGACATCAAATTACTGGGGGGCGCGCAATGGCTGCGTGTGAAACGTCCCTTGTTACATCTTCGGGTGCTATCCGAAAAATAACCTCCGGGTGTACCATGACACCCACCAATAATCCGACAGTGTGCTCTGGTAAATCAATCCCTTGGCAACAAAGACTCTTTGGTAAAAACTTGTTATACTGCAATCAAATAAAAAAGCCAGATGATGATTCCAAATCCTCCAGCGTTGATGTGAGCAGTTTTATCAGCGAATCTGGTGGTTCTACGTGCGAAGTGATCGGTGTTTACTTCAGCTTCATTAATGCAAGTGCCACGTGCGATGAATTTACTAAACAATTGTCTGATTTGTATGCTCATGTCAATTCTATTGTTGCGATCAATGGAGATTCTGACTCGCGACAAAAGAAAAGGTTTGAAGTGGTACACGTTGTCCTTTGGAGTAATGTAACAGATGTACTAGACTTTGATGAGAGTTTCAAAAATCATGTGGCTGATTTACCATGGCTAGTGGTACCTAATGAAGATTATGAAAGAAAGGTAAGTTCATTTATCTCTTCAAAAGCTGTTTCTTTATACTGATGTTTAACCAAATTTTTTTTTTCTCTTTTTTGCGTTGCAAGAATTTTATTTCGGGTATTTCGTACTTTAAAATTATTCCATTTCATTGAAGTGTATATATAGCAAATGGACTGAAGGAATATAAGCAGAGAATGAGAGTAAATATTAAAAATAGAATGTATAAGGAATAAAAGATACTGCAATTAATACAGTCAGTTTCCTTATAACTTATTCACCATTAATTACCGTACTCTAGACAAGTTTTTATTATGCAAAAAAAAAAAATGAATCAAAAGGTTCACCAATCAATTGCTCTATGAATGTATATCTGAAGAATTAATTAAACTTTGATATGATTTTTGAAAAATTCGAAAAACTATAGATGATAAACAAAATATAGACTTGACAAATAATTGATGAATATATATTTTAAAATGATTTTTATGTCAAGTGACAGTGTGTAATTTGAATTACTATCATTTATATTTGAGGTATATTCATCCAGAATCTAATTTTGAATGGTAAAATTGCATCTCTGACGTTCATGACAGTTTGTGGTTTGTATACAAATTCCATTTCAGTAAACAGAGTGATGGATACATTTCGTTTAATTTGTAACCCGGAATTTTCTCACCCTTTAGAATATACTCCCGAGTGTATCGCTGATGCCAACATTTTTTAATTGGATTCTACATCGTTGAACAACGTCGGGACGCTTCAATAGTCGTATCGATTACTCGTTACCGTCATTGTTGAGATTAACGAAGGAAAATCTCGTAAAACGCACAGAAATACGTCGTGGTGCACACAACGCCTACAGACCATGTAATGTTCGTGCTAATGAGAAAGAAAAATAGAAAGCAAGAGACGAAGTTAAAAAAGACGAAAAAAAAAAAAACAAAAGAAAACAAAGATGGAATGGTGAATAAAGAGAACACCAATAGTGTCGAAGAGTCAAGACTGAAAGGATATTCGATCGACACTACTATGGTGAAGCTTTGATGTTTTACTTCAAAATAATGCTAGTCGTCGACCTCGATAACTGTTGAGGGTGCTAGGTGTTTCCCATATTTTTTTTTTCTAGCTAATGAATATCTCATGTACATAAGAAGGATTGTACTAGACACACTAGCAACATAATTAAGTTCAAAAGTACTTTATTTATTTTTATTTCCAAGAACACTTAGAATTTCATGGATTGTTATAACAAAGTTTATTAAAATTTTTTTTTTTCTTGCTACTATCTGTAACTATGTTGGAAGAAAATGAAGAAGCTCTTATTGAAATAGTCGCTAACTATTAGAAAGTCTAATGAGCAGATCATAAGAGAATTTTTATTTAACTTTCGTTGAATGGACTTAAAAGTTTTCTCGTAAAATATGATGCTATTCTTTGCTAAAATAACTTTATTAATTTTTTATGATGATTAGCATTATCATGTCTATCAATATAATTAAATAAAGTGGAATTTAAATATCATTTCGACATAGAGATAAATTTTTTTTTTTGTAAAGTATTAATGATTTAAAATGTGCAGAGAATTGTAGGAAATGTTGTGAAAGAATTGGAATTCATTTGAAATAGGTGAAAAAAAAAATACCTAGGGAACAAATATTTAAAATTGTAGCACAATCGATATTACTGACAATATCTGTTAGACAATTGATTAAATATTTGTATTAATGGAATGTAGAATGTAATGTCTGCTCTTAAATTTACTATTTTCTTACAAAAACATTAAAAACTGTTGTAATTAATTAATTATTACCGAGGCCAGATCTAAACAATTGTTAATAAACATTTAATTAGATAGAAAAAGTAATTAATCCGTAATTAACTTAATTAATAGGTTTCTTACAAAATAATTCTTGTTTGATTGCGTGACGAAATATTATAATACTGATGTTATTACAATTCCTCAAATAATGATAAATGTTTCAAAACAATAAGAATAATGATTCTTTATTACATAAATTAGGTGCGTGTGTTATCAAAATTATTTTTTTATGAATTATTTTTGTAAGCTTTCTACTAAATACTTATCAGAAAAATTAATTAGAAGAATTTATTAAAATTTTTGTACGAAGAAATTTAATTAAAAATATCCATTAAGCGTTATATTATTTGCCAATTTTCTGCTGAAAGAAGAGAATAAAAAATGAATAATTAATGAATGTTTTTTTAATCAAAGATTCTAGTGGATAAAAAAAGAAATGGACTGAATGAGAATATGGAAAAATTTCCAATTTGCCATTGAGTGTTATATTTTGGCAGAAAATATTTTTCGCATTGTTATCATGTGTACGGTCGCGACTATTGATTTAGACCTTCAGTGAACTATGCACATCCAGGTGTGTATTTTTTTAAAATACCATTGAAAATATTTACAAATCTCTGTAAATCTAGAATAATCTTTTTGTTTTATTTCCATAAATACCAGTAAACTTGCACTCCCATGAACTGAGAGAAAAAAAATTAAATAAATAAAATATTCAACTGAACAGTTGCAATAAATTATTATACACTCTCTAGAAAAGAATCAGTAAATATTCACTGTTTGCAGTGATTTTTTATTAATTCATTTTTACACAGTGGACTTAGAGAATATTTTATGGCTCTAAAAAAATTATCAAGTGTTTCAATAACATTTGTTCCCTCTTTGGTTTTCAAAAAATTTATCATTATCAAATAATTAAAAATATTTTGAAACAATATAATATTTTTTGAATTAGAGAAATAATTCATCGCAATACAATATTTTATTTTTATAATTTTCTTCCCTCTATGTTATAATAACAAAAAAAAAACAAATCTAATTAGTTTGGAAGATAAATTTTCAATGGAACAAAAAACATAAAATAAATTTTTCTATTTTATTATTCAATCTAGAACGCTTCAAATGTAATTAAAAAATACACGTTTCTATAAAGAACAAAAATGGAATGAATGCTTTGTCTATTAAGAAAAAAAACCGTACATTGTTGATATACGTTTGATCTTCAAAATAGGTCGATCGATATAACAATTTTGTATATCTTTTATATAATACCTAAGACTTAGGAGGGGATGAATTCTACGAAGCAAGTAAAAAACAGGATTGACCAGGAGTCCTGGAGAATGTGAAGATGCTGAGAAACGAAAAAAAAAGACTTGGAGAGAGGAGAATATAAAAAGATTGTGTGAAGCGATGCAAGAGATTTTGACAATGCGGAGACACGCTAACGTTGAGTGTCGACATTGCAATTCTGTTTCGACGACGTGAAAAATATGAAAAGAAAGTAAAGATAGTTGGAAAGAAAAAGAAGGAAAAAAGAAAATCACAATACGAGGTAGGAAGTCTCGCCAGGTTGTTTTGCAAAGTCATAATTTTTTTTTTTTTCGAATACTACCATTTTTCCATTTTAAAGTTCCAGTTTTTAAACTTTTGTTCTTACACTGATAATTACAGACATCGATTTCCCATATAGAGGAGCAATTGTGTTTCTATTTAAAATACGATACTAGACTATTAGTAAGTACAAGGGAGATTTAAATTTTAAATTGATTACTCATTGATGCTTTTAACCCTTGAAGAGGAAATTTCGTTTCTATTTTATTTTAAATGCTCTGCAAATTTACCTTCTTTAATCGGCAAACATTACTATAGAAACGGTGGATTTAGTGTGACTATGGTGAACCCAAGTTCACTGCTAAACTTGAACTTAAAACTTAAATACACACATCATCAAAACCTGTCAGCAAAGTGGCGGCTTCTAGAAGTACAAAGAGGTTTAAGAGGATTAAGGATTTTCCAATGCTTTTATTCACAATCACATCAAAAACCAACGCTTGATGAAACCAGCACACCAAAGAATCGTAAATAGCCAAAAGATTGTTGAATTACATCAACCAAAAAACTTTTTTGTTACCCAAGAAAACAACTTAAAAGTTTGGATTTCATATAGACATTAAAGATTTGCTGCTTTATTTGATTTATGGTAGTTTTTAACTTGTTCCTTCTTTTTCGTGAATATATTTTCTATTTTTGTTCACCTCCTGTCTCAACGGTGGAAGTAAATTTCTCAGGTAAAATTATTAAAATTACTAAGAATGATAAAGATGATTTATAAAGTGGCTAGAACTATGTAGTTTTTGTATATTTTTAGAGAGGAAGAAGCTGAATTTATGATGCAAAACCAAGTCAGACACATTAAAGCTTGAAAAAAGATCGCATAATTTTGCGGGTGAATGGAAGTTTCGTGTTGAACATTTTGGATTTAGTGAAGCATAAAAACCAATGATCCGTGTTCTTGATTGTTTCGTGTAATCAAATGTTATTTTATTATATGAATGGTTTATCGACATATTAGCAAATCGAAATGCATATCAAACATGATTTCCTTTGTCACATAATTGAGATTTTCTCATTAACTATTTTATCGATATAAAAAGAAGATTTGTTCCAACTTTGAACAATAAAAATATGGTATGGATAAAAAATATTCTAGAATGGTAATTTGCAAATTTAAAAAGTAAACATTACTTACAAGAAGTGGATTGAAATTCAATTACTGAATGTGACCTAAGTAAACATGGTAAATTGCTGAAAAATAAAAATAGATAAAAAAAGAAGCTAAAAAATAATACAAATTTTGCTGTGATGCAGAAAACTGTTAATAAAAAAAAATGTTCATCAATTCCATCAAATCACTTTAAAAGTTTTTAATTCTTCTAAAAACACTTGTCAATAAACTGCCATCAAGCTAGACTATTTTTTTATCTTCATTCTGGTGATATAGTGACTTCCATTAAAAAAATGAGTTGTTATACACAAGTTAGTAGAATGTATCTAGATAATAAATAGATTAAAAAATATTTTATTCATCTAGAAGTATAGTAATAACGAAAATTAAAATGTGCAATAGCTAAATAGTTGAACAAAAGTACTTCCTATCTTTTTTCGAGGTGAATTGACGACCCAGATTTGCTTAGAATGACTT